CCTTCTTTCCCTTGTGATGCGGTTCTGGGGAGCGGTCTTGAACTGCTTGGACCTTCTTTCCCTTGTGGTGACGGGCCTCCAAGTCAATGGCTACACCGCGAGCGATAACTGCACCACCGCCCTGTGAGGTGTTAGTATTTGTTGGATGAATGAGATCAAGTTCAGTTGTAGATGAGGTAATTATGAAGGATGAAGAAGACATACAATATGACGTCTAGCTAAGCCACCGCTAGCCACATCCTGTCCGTTGATGAGAGGGGCAAGCGCCAAAAGGCCAAATGCCAAAAGAGTCGAGGTATGCATGCTGAATAAATATAAACGAAAGGCTGGCCAGCAGCTTTGAGCGAATAAGAAGAGAGGGAATGGAAGGGAAAAGAGAAGCGAAAAGAACAAAGCACAAGCGTCAAGCTGATGGAGAGAGAATTCAGATGAGAGCACGAATACAAGAGCAGATTTGAGTCCTTTATGACTGATTCCTTGGCCCGCGTAGACTGGATGTCGATGGGATGAGAAAACACGCTAAGTCTTCGCGAGGCGCTCTGGGGAAGGGGAAAGGGAGGTTGTTCGGGCCATGGTGGAGTTCATGATAGTCTCAGAAGGTGTTCCAAGACCGTTGCACCAGGTGCCCAAGCGTTGATGTCTCTTTTTGAGAGTATTCCCAGTATGTTCGTAGTGGCATTCTCGCATGGGTGAGAAATGCCGCAGTCTATCATGGCCCGTCGAGGAAAGATGAGCCGCAAGCGACAGACCTCGCCTGTGTTCCAGGCCAGGGCGGGTTTCGCCATGGCGTCGAGAAAGCTTGAGTGCCCTATAAACAGCAGTCACGAGTGATACAGATCGGCCAGACCCCACTGTCTGCCGCCAGCCGTTGGTGGGATAAATGATGGGGTTCAAACAAACCAGCGCCGAGACAACTCACGTCGGCGCGTGGTGCCAAGATGCCATCCAATGGAGGGTTATCTGCTGGCTGGAGCAGTTTCACAGTCCGGGGAAAGTTTCCTGGGTCTGTATAGAGAATAGCCCGTATGGGAGAGCCCGTATGTGGAGCGATGTACGAAGTAGCATGGTTTGGTGATGTTTGAGCCCGCCGCGCATAGACTTTCCCCACCCTTCTCCACCAAGTGTCGGAGTTCCAGTATCAGAATCCCAGGGCGACGGTGATTGAGGCTCTCATAAAGATAAAAAATGGATTTTTGTGCTCTTTGTGCTTTTTATGAATTTTGCGATTGGTGGAAAAGGAGACATTGCAAGGTAGCTGCGACGCGACTTGTCTTGGTATCGCTTAATTGTGAGGAAAGGGGATCTCCAAGGGACTTGGCTCCGAAACATCTGGAGCATCATCGACCACAACGTCAAACCAAGAGGCGACGCAATTGCTCAAATAGGACAATTTCCGATGCGCAAAGGGCCTATTGTGGTTCTACTCTGATATATTTCGGTATATTCTGGTATATACTCCAACGAACATGATACAGGACTCCCCTGGAACTCGGTGCCGTCGTAACCGCCATCCCTGATGCTTGAGCAGTGGCATCACGAGGTAGGCGTCTGAGTGCTAAGCATCTGCGATTTCCCTTGACCATGTCCAATCCCCCCCGCTGGAAATATTGAATATCTCCAAGTTGACCTTCATTTCTATTGTTGTTTGCTGTTGTGTTTCCTTTATCTCCTTCTTTTCCCTTCCACCAAAGCCTTCAACCAGAGCTGGATCTCTACGTGCTTGTTCTATTCTTGTATAATTTTGTTTTTTGAATATGGCTTCTGTGAAATACTACCCGGTGTCGCTGGCCGACGAGAAGGAATCATACTCGCCCTCAGACACATCCTCCACGACGCTCCTTCCCTATGAAGAGGACCACAGAATCACCGAGAGGCGGCAGCTCAAGTCGGTACTACAGTCGAAATGGCTCCTGTTAGCACACGCGCTATTTTTCTTATTCTCGCTGGCTATCTTCTTACGGGGCATCACCTTCTCAGCGCCAACAACTGCGAAGTTTGTGAAGGAGTTCTCGGAATACTGTGAGTGCTGGTCAACTTTGTTCCCCTCGAGTGCCCAGGCTGACTGTATATAGCTCCCGCGGCCCATGTGATAGAATATGAAGACATGAAGTTCAACGGCAGCATGTATGCTACATCGGCGTACATTGGCAAAGGTCCTGAAGTCGACGCTGCTTGGGATGTCATCTCATATAATGGTACGCTTCATATAGGACATGTCCATTCCTCGATAAATCCCATCACTACACCCTTACTTCATCGATATTTTAGCCTTCATTCTAGAAAGCATCAAACTGACACTCGCACAGTCGGCGACCAGATGATTTCCGCCGCCGAGCTCCGCAAAATCGATAAGCCAACCACCGTCCTCAAAGTGACAGACCCCCGTACAGGCATCGAAGGCTACCGCGTCGGCCTCGAAGTCTTCCACCAGCTTCACTGCCTTAATCTGCTCCGCCAGGCTACCCATATTGACTACTATGGGGGCCGCGGTGGAGACTTTTCGGAAGGGATTGATGGCCTACGGATGCATCTCGGTTTGTGCTCCCTACAATACCAACGTCGGAAATTGGTAGCTGCTTGCTAACGTGCCGACAGATCACTGCCTAGAGATGTTGCGCATGAACCTAATGTGCCAGAGCGATGTTGGGCTCATTACGTTCGAGATGACGGATGAGGGCATCTGGCCCGACTTCAGCACGTGGCACACGTGTCGTAAGTTCGATAATGTGCTTGACTGGGCGATGGAGAATGCGGTAGCGAACGATGACCCGATGTAATATTCCGGGTTTCGTAGAATTGAACAATAATAAGTCATATTTGACAGACTACTATTAATATTGATGGGGGTCTTGCCAAAGAGGGTATTATGAAACTGTGCCCGATATCGCCAGATAAAGGTAAGTCGTCCAAGTTGCTTCCGACAACCTCTTCTCAATCCACAAACACGTCGCCCCTCTCAATCGTCTCAAAGGCCTTCATGGTATGCTCCCACACCTTATCCCCCAATCCCTTCAGTCCCCATTCTCGATAAAACTTCTCGCTCCCTTTACATACCTCTCCATTCCAATTCACCGCATACACCCTACCGCCAATCAGTCCATTCACCCCCGTCGCCACCTCTTCCTCCACCACTGGCACCATAGTGCCCGCCTCCCCATCTCCACCCGCTCTCCCTCGAAACATCGCCGACGTAGACATAAACAAGTTCCTCTCCCCCGACTCCTTCAGATCCAGCAGAAACGGTGTCAGCAGCGGAAGCACCACCCAGTGAAACAGCCACTTAACGAATGGCGAGAACCTGGCGTGCTCGAACTCCGGCGTCTTCACAAGTCCGGGGTGAACGTGTAGGCAGCTCAACGATGGGTTCTCTGCGGCGATATGCAAAAAGGAGAAGGTGATCATGAAGATGGCGTGGGAAAGGTGGTTTAGCACGCTGTGATGGGCGCGGAGGGAGAGGTCGTCGGGGTAGACGCCTCGCTCGTGGTTTGGTGCTAAGACGGAGACGGCACGGGGGGAGGGGGCGCGCTGGAGGAGGGGGAGGAGGAGAGTGAGGAGGCGGATGCGGGAGTAGTAGCGAAGAACCATGAGAGCATCTAGGCCTTCGGGTGTTTCTAGAGAGGGGTTAATATGGATTCTGGAGATGGGTGGGGTCGAAGGCGGCTTCGCACTTACCTCTCCTGCCTTCAAAAGTGATATATCCATGGGTCATAAATAGCAAATCGAGCTTCCCACCCTCCTCCCTCTTTAGTATCTCCGCACACACTGTATCCACATTCTTCAATAGCGACAAGTCCGCGCTGAGGAAGACGAATGTCCCTTCCGGACAAATCTCGAGGCAGTCCGCGATGATAGCCGCGGCGCGCGGTTCGCTGCGGCCAATAATGTAGACACGAGGCGCGGTGCTGTTACCGGCAAGGGCGCGAAGGGCAGATTCACCGAGGCCGCTGGTGGCGCCGGCGAAGACGGCGGTGATGGGGGGGAGAGTGCGGAGGTGGGCGTTTGAGGCGCGGACGGTGGAGAGGGGGATCATAGTAGCAATACGAGGTTCAGTGATTATGGAAGGAATGTCACCTCGATAATTATAGATGATTAGAAATATTTTATTGTTGATTGTGAGTGGTCGTGTATGTCGATGCGCGCGCGTTGCGAGAAAAGTAAGGGTGGCGACTATCACTTGAGGCGGGGTAGTCAACAGTGACGCGGATAAATATCGTGATAGGTCAAGACACTGATACTTGAATACTCTCATACTGTTGCATGCATATCCATAGGATATCAACGTTGTAAATTGTAAAATTTTAGTTATAATATATTTATGTGCATTTTCCAAGTTGAAAATTAATTATTTAGTAAACGTCTATAAGTAAATTAAAATATATTCTTTAAACTTTTATTTAATATCCGTTCAGTAAATCTTCCTTTATTTAGTGCAGCAGTAGATCAATTATAATACAAACTTCATCTACTTATTATAAGAACATAGGCATATTTCACAATTTATTACAAATGAAGCCTTCCTTAGATGGTGGTAACTGTAGCAACATTCTTTGCTTGGCAATATATTTGTTTCTTGCCTTATATATTAGGAAATATCACGTGATTTAGGTGACGGCTATCGTAACTATCGACTATCGCCAATTCGAGGCCAGCGCAACAACCATTTAAAGTTAAACATCGACACTCAAACCCGCGATCCTTCGTTCCTGACCATAACGCAAATCTAATAGACTATGGGTTCATTATAACCACTCTTTTATGCTGGTCAGAAAATCTTACCTAGGCGCTATCTGAATTACGCTAAAGCTGTCTATTTGCGTGGTTCGTAGCGGCGCTGGTGGATTGATCCAGGGAAACTTTAATCAGGTGAGTTTGATATGAAGCTTAGCAACGTTTTATATACCATAGCCCGAGCTCAGATTTTCTTCATCAAATGAGCAACTAGTGTTGCCCATTTATTTATGCATATTCACCTCATTTGTTACCGATCTACGATCTACGCTACATTCTTCTTATTTGTACAGCTTCCACGTTTTGTTGGCTTCACAGTAGAGTCATATTGAACTCAAGGCTCTTCTGCAATAAATCTGCTTTCAAACATCTTCTGTGGCTAGATCACCTGTCAAGTGGCTGCGGATTGTTGGCATGTTGCTTCATCTCATACAACACCTACAGCTAAAGAACACTGTTGGCTGCGATTCTCAAGGTCTATTTCTTGCTGGTCTATTTTCGTTAGGAGATAAAATTACTGTACTAACTCGTCCATAGACTACCCTAAACTCACTGTATCTGACACGGTGCTCTCATAATTACTTGCCTTCATCCTCGGCCCCTTTCGTCGGTGTTGCAGATGAATTGTGAGCTACAACCTGTCGCGTCGGGAATTCCTCTGGTTCGGGTATCCATCCAAGAACCGGCAAATTCTAGCCGAATATGGTGATGATGGATTCTGCACATGGCAACGATGTTGTCATGGCTGAGAGCGTTGTGGAAAATGGCGGGAATGGATTTATCGACCCGAGGGATATGCACATCATCGAGCATGGCCTCACCGAGAATGGCGACGGCATTGGGCAACTAAATTTTGAAGAAGAAGAAGAAGATGCTGCAGATATGTCAGATATTTCTGAACATTCAGTGGATTCGCAGGCCTTAACGTTTACCGGGCGAAAGAAACACCTGCCCACTGGATGTTGCTACGACGACCGGATGAAGTTACATGCAAATGCTGATTTCTCCGTTGATCCGCCGCACCCCGAGGATCCAAGGAGGATACAATCAATAATGAGGGCATTCAAGGAAGCAAAACTCGTTTATACTGGCCCGGAAGAGAACCTTGCAGGAATCTTGAAGAATTCGCCAACCGCGTATATGTATCGAATTGCAGCGAGGGGCGCCACGCCAGCAGAGATCTGCACGGTTCATACGCCACTGCATTTCAAGTGGGTTTCTGACCTCTCTGGCATGTCATCGGATGAGCTGCGCGCTATGAGCAAGGCCCTGGACACAGGGCGAAAGTCGCTATATGTTGGGAATTACACTTATGAAGCCGCACTGATTGCCGCTGGTGGTGCTATTGAGACCTGCAAGAACGTTGTGGCGGGCACGGTCAAGAACGCAATTGCTGTTATTCGACCTCCTGGACATCACGCCGAGAGTGATGAGGCTTTGGGATTCTGTATGTTTAACAACGTTCCCGTTGCGGCACGTGTTTGCCAGGCCGACTTCCCTGATACCTGTCGAAAAGTCCTGATTCTTGATTGGGACGTACACCACGGCAACGGAATTCAGAATATATTCTACGACGACCCGAATGTTCTATATATATCACTCCACGTGTACAAAGACGGAACTTTCTACCCCGGCTTCCCTGATGACCCATCAGTGCCTGATGGAGGGCTAGGAAACGTTGGTGCTGGCCCCGGCTCTGGGAGAAATGTGAACATCCCGTGGCACGCGCAGGGCATGGGTGACGGTGAGTACCTCGGCGCCTTCCAGAAAATCGTTATGCCCATCGCCCAGGAATTTAACCCAGACCTTGTCATCGTCGCTGCTGGCTTTGACGCCGCGGACGGCGATGAGCTGGGCAGCTGCTTTGTTTCGCCTGCGTGTTACGCGCACATGACCCATATGTTGATGTCGCTTGCTGGCGGAAAAGTAGCCGTCTGTCTCGAGGGCGGGTACAATCTCAAAGCGATCTCGCGGTCTGCTTTGGCCGTGGCGAAAACATTGATGGGAGAGCCGCCGGACCGCATTGAGTTGCCGCCGATCAACAAGGAGGCGCTGAAGATCCTGCATCGAGTTAAGGAAGCCCATGCGCCGTTCTGGGAGTGCATGCAGCCGGGGAAGATTAATGTGAAAGAAGAGGAAGACGCGGATGGGGCGAGGTTTAACGCTGTTATCCGCGCATATCAATATAAGGTCCTCCGAGAGAAGTACAAGATGGTCGATATGTACGTTACGAGGGATAAACTGGCCAAGGGGCTGGAGTACCAGGTGCTGATCACGAGCGAGTTTCCGGCGGCAAAGAAGATTCTTCTTATCGTTCACGATCCGTAAGTTGTGTATGTCAAGATTCCGAAAGCATGCTGATGATTGTCACAGACCTGAACTCCTGGCTATTTCTGATCCCATCGACTACTCCGTTGAGCCACATAATTCGCGGATGGTAAATTCTACTGCTTCTACTGGAGTCTGTGTCCGTGGAACTAACTTGCCATAGAACGACGGTGTAATGGCCTACATTGACTGGGCCTACAACAACGGCTACGCGGTCATTGACGTCAATATGCCCATGCACATCGAAGACACAGACGTTTGTCTCCCACACCAGCTAGTCCCATCCATAAAGCTGACATAAGTAGGCGAACATTGAAGAAGAAGGATTTATCGAGCGCCCAACCGAGATGGTGCATCGCGAGCGCATGAAGGAGCTCATGTGCTACCTATGGGATAACTATCTTGAACTCCACGATTCGGAGCACGTCGTGCTTATGGGTGTTGGAGATTCCTACAGTGCTGTTAGAGAACTGCTTGTGAATAGAGGTAAGGTTTTTTTTTTGTTTCTGTTATTTGGTTTTGGTTTCGCGGGCCCTGGGATACTTTCAAACGCTCCCCTGGATCATCCCTCCTCCCCTCCAAATGTCCACACACTAACTCTACTCCCAGAGTCCAAGCACAAAGTTCCCCTCGTCGTATCCTTTGTCTCTGGCTCCCTGCGACCCGTTCGCAGCGAGACAGACGCCAGTCTTGCGCACTGGTACAAGAAGCATTCCCGCGTGTATGTAGCAGCCGATCACCTGTGCTGGACGGATCCGGAGTTGGAGCGGAAAGTGACGAAGAGCCGGTTCGGGCGCGTCGTGAAGAGCGGAGAAGAGGGGCTGAACAATATGCTCCGGGCGCATTTGCCAGAGGTAGTGGGGTTGTTGGGGAGTGTGGGCGAGGAGGGTGAAGAGGAATAGGGCGATTCGGGGGCGAAGATTTGAGATGAGAGGGAGAGTACGTCGCTTCAGTGGGGCATGATGGGACTGTATTCAATGCTGCCGTATAAATATAAACGGGCCTTTGGCAGTCTTTGGCAGTAATATATAGTCTGCTATACATATATACACAAAGCTTCTATTCACGTGGATAAAGCCTGGAAATTTCTGGAAATAAGATATCAATATATTAGAGTGGAAGAGAGGTTGGAGGTGGGGTCGGTAAGGGTGCAGAACTGCAACAGCTCTTTTCATTTGATATATAATAGTGACTGAGCGCTAGCTATTATTCTAGTACGTTTAGACAGGTTCTAATTCTCTTTTCTATACTGCTTCTCATTTCTTACGAACGATACTTCAAGTAACGTTATGTGCTAAGATTTTATATAAATTGCATATTTTGTTCTAACTATATATCCCGTTGCTGCATCGCCTCGGCCTCTGCGTACTTGCCCTGCGGGCGAAGCAATGATGCGAGGTTGTTCATGCTGCTAGGCGTGTGTAGGTGGTCCTTCCTCCACTTGTTCCTGACCTTCCTGCACCAGGACAACCTCTTCCCAAACATATCGCTCTCCTTCAGTGACATCCACCGACGCAGCTCTGGTGTACAAAGAATCGGCGCCAGAATTGCTTGACTCTGTTTCCCGAGCGAAGGAAAGATTTCGATACCGATTCGTGCGTGCGGCTACATTGAATTCATCCATTTCCCTTTCAAACCGAATCCTGTCTCGAGTCTCCATGCGTTGCTCCGTCTCAAACCGAGTCCTGTCTCGAGCCTCCATGTGTCGACTAATGACACATTGTGCCCAGCCGACGCCTAGAGCGGCCAATCCTACAGGGACTACAACCACGGCCACTATAAGCGTTCCCAACCCCAGGTCCGGTGTGTCCCGTTTAGCAATGGCTGCATAGTGAGGTCCTCCGCCCTGGCCGTCTGCCGCGTAGCCGTTTCCGTTGGCTGGGTCAAATCCTTCTACGCGGCGGATCGCTATGTTAAGTTCTCCGTTGAGATGTGCAGCATGTTCGTCTGCCATGTTCACACTGCTGAAGTGATCGAGCAAAAGCTCGCTCGAGTCTGAACATTCAGTTTCATGAATAGCTCCGTGTATGCACACTTACCCGCTTTGAGAGTATGATACATTAAAACGTTTGCGAGATTACACTTTACTACTGTGCCAATACTGTAACCAAGAGTCTTGATGTGTAGGACCCATTTGTCCACGGGTACCGAGGTATAAATAGGAGGGGAAGGGTGGCACTCCACGTGACGTGCAAGTCAGTCAGTCCAGCGACGAGCGAGTCAGTCGTGCAGCAAGCGAGTCAGTCGTGCGGCTGGACTGACTCGCACGTCACGTGGAGCTTTGAAATCACCAGTCCACTTTCGCAAGCTGGCCACGCAACCCACCGAGTCAATAAAGTGAGGACTAGGACCGGTTTTTAGTGCGCTGCATTAGATGGTTGGGGGGGAATTCAATTGACTGACTCTACTGCGGATATACGGTTCTTCTGAGCTCTCATTGTTCTGCGCCTAAAGAGTGCGAAGCGTAATTTGACCGAACGTGTGGATCCCGACTAAATTGGCCGTAACCGAGCCAAATTTGCAACACATGGCGCCAAGAAGACGGGATGACGGTGGTGGTGTTGTCGGCGCGGTTGCTCGTTTAGTTGTGATGGCGCTTAGGATGGGTAAAAAGGGCATGGGTAGTATTACATATAGCACTCGACATGAGGATAAGTGTTACATACGACCATAGACTCAAGAGAATTGGGCATCCCGTCCGCTCTGCCATACACAAGCTTGAGATCGGTGGATTAGTAGTTGGGTGGGTGACCACCAGCGAATACCCACTGTTGTATGTTTTTGTCATTTTTTTGTCATTTTTTTTGTCTCCTTATAAAAATTTTGCCTCGCCCTGGACAGCTAGGAATAGATGCTCCCGTTGTCGAGAACGAACAAGAGGAGGGGTAGCGACAGCGGCACCAACAATGGGACACCTTTAGCAACGCATAACACCAAATCAGTATCGTCGACTGGGACCGGGTAGACCCTTTTCTGTTTACTCCTCTCGAGACTAGGCGGTAATTCGGCTCATGATATGATCGTGCAATCTGTGATCGGTAATGGTGACTGTACATGCGATACTTTGCGGCGGGGATGGTGGGGAATGATGGAATGGCGTTTACCAAGCTTGCGGGGTTGGGGGCGTCAGATGGCAGTGACAGCGGGTGAGAGAAGCTGTGGGCTGGTGGATGTGGAAGGAAAAGGGGGGCAGTTACTGTGGGACTGCCATAGGATGGCAGTGCTTATACTTGAAAGGAATGTGATGTTGCATCTAACCCCAGCACAGAAACTGTAATTGATTGATAGGCCTTTTCTCCACAAGAGCCTACAGCTATAACTCTAGGAAATAGATGCTATAATCGAGCTACTTTTCTTTAGATCTGACATTTGTAACTCAGGAAAACAGATGCTATGATCGGCGAGAATATGGACGAGATTGGTGCAGCCATAGGTTCGGTGTAATTAGTCGCGAACCCCGGAATGCGGGTTAACTTGCGGGGTAACCATGACATATCTGGGCAGATCAATGTAAGATCTCTGAATCCATTTAACCTCAAGCTACTCTTTCTAGAAAGGGATTTAATTGCCCGTTTCTTGCCAACAGCAACGTGGGGAAGCGGGGAAATCGGAACCAACCTAGTTTTCAGAGCCATTGCCGAAGCCTGTTATACGAGAGAGCAATGCGACATGCACTATCAGACTCCTTTGACTCGGGAGAAAGACAAACGAGACCGGGTCGAAGAAAGAGTAATAAGAAGCACTTTCGTACTCATTCTCTTTGATAATTGTTGGCGACGGTTCATTCGTGGAATTTCTAGTTTTTATCTCACTATTTTGCCGTCTCTGTAGCACCTCTGAGAAGCACCAGCCTACGCTTGTTGAGCATATGCTCTAAGTGATGAGTATTTATCAAAGCTTTCTTCTAAGGTCATGCCTTTCATGTTCCATCCTTCTGTGTTTACTTGCAGTGACAGCAAGCAGTAAATGCGTCTCAGGGTTTTGATCCAAGATGTCACCCAGCTCCTTTTCTTGGGCTCTATCGCCTTCTACGGGAAATATGGTGTAGAGGCCAGCGCTGACACACGCCTTGGTGCTACTGTTCGTGAACGGACCCGACTCCATTCTGGCTGGAAATTTTTGCATTCACCTACCACGCCAGATGGCGTGACCTACAGCTTGCGGCCTGACAATGAAAGCGAGGACTTGGAGGAGCTGCGAGATTGGGTCCTTCCTGTTGCAAACGAGTTCATTGCTGACGCCGATCAACACTACAACAGGCCTGATTTTGAGCCCAAGGTTGACATTGAGTATGTAGCCGATGGCTTCGATGATAGGAACTGGACTTCAGTCACAGTTCCTCATGACTGGGCCATAACGGGAGACTTTGTTGGCTCTTCGGAGGTGCTTGGCGATATGGGTAGCTTGCCAGTTCGAGGCGTCGGCTGGTACCGCCAGAAGCTGTCTTTCACGAAGAACGACAAAGATAAGTCAATCTACCTTGACGTTAAAGGAGCAATGGCGTTTTCTATGGTATGGCTTAACGGCCACTTGGTCGGCGGATGGCCTAATGGGTATCTTACCTATCGTCTTGACCTCACTCCATACGTGAAATTTGGAAAAGAGAACCACCTGGCAATCCGGGCAGAGAATCCTCAGTCGAAGAAATTCTCTCGGTTATATCCAGGGGCGGGCATCTACCGTGACGTCTGGGTCATAAAGGTTTCTAAAACGCACGTCGCTCACTATGGTACTCATATTTCGACGAAGGATGTGTCAGCAAAATCCGCCACTGTTGATTTCTCCATCACGATTGATAATAAGGACACTACGCAGCATCAGCCTGTCAAGGTCATCACTAAAGTTTACAAATACAAAGATGGCAAGGTTGGGCAAAAGGTTGGCGCGTTCCCTATTGAAAACCTTCGTTTAGTCCCTGGGGAGTCCCATGCTTCCAATACTTCAATCACGATCAAGAACCCCTCGCTCTGGGGGCCTCCTCCCACCCAGGAACCGAATCTGTACATCGCCATTACTGAGTTGTATGACCTGGAAAATCGACTGCTTGATGAATACGAAACAACCTTCGGTATTCGTACTCTTAACTTTGAGGCAAACAACAGCCTATTTGTTAACGGTGAACACACCTATATACAAGGTGTTAATTAGCACCATGACCTTAGAGCTCTTAGCGCTGCCTAGAACCTCCACGTAAGCATGCGTTAGTTAGAGACGTTAAAGGAACTTAGAGTTAACGCTATCTAGATAGTATATAATCTACTAACACTAGATCTACTAAGACTTATAGATAAGCTAAGCTTTATAGTTATTAATAAGATTTTTAACTATTAGCTAGAGGGAAAGAGTATATTAGACTTTTACTTAATCTTTAAAGACTAGTAAGCCTAATGTTAGATCCTTTATATAGTAAGATTAGAACTATTCTTCTATTATTATATAGAGTATTAGGAATAAAGTATGTAAGTAAATATATAACTTACTAAGAGTAGCTAAGATCCTCTTTATACTTTATAATATAGTTTAACATATAATTTAATAGACTCTCTAAGCTTAGAATATAGATATTATAAATTAAATGATATAGAATTACTTTCTTAAATTAACTCTTATTATAACTACCTAGCTAACTTCTATTCTATAATATAAGAATATTAATACTCTATTCTAAGATGTTATATAGGCTAGTAAAATCTATAATACTATATTACTTATAAGCTTCTTAAACCCTATTAAAGAGGGAGAAGAAGAGGATATAACTACTTATAAGGATATTGTCACGGGTACGGCAGGAGGCCCGACTCGGGGGCGACGCGGGCCCGGGGACTAGGGCTAGGGGACCGGTGCCTTAGGCATCCCGTGGCAGTCGCGCCCATGCACCCACATGCCCTATGCCCTATAGCCAGTAAGAGGGTGGCACGTACCACCGACCCGCCGCCGAGTCGGCGGGGACCCGACTGCGAAGCAGTAGATAAGAGTAGCTGAGCCCCCTATAGGGAGGGCTCAGGGATTAGTCTGTTGAATACCATTTCTGTTACCGGAGCCTGCGGCCGTAGCACACTTCCACCAAACCCTTACAGATATTCTATAAGAGGTAATATAGGAGCATTTAGGCCTACTATTAGCTAAAGCTAAAGCTAAAGATAAAGAAGAGCTAGAACAGCTATTACTAACACTATAAGAAGCCTACTAAGCTCTTTAAGTTCTTATAGAATATATAGAGGGATTAAATACACTTAGGAAATCATATTCTAGGGCCTTAGAGCGCCTTACTACTAATATTAAGGCTCTAGTAATATCATTAAGGTAGTAGAGTACTCTAGATAGTTAGATTATGTAGTTATTTAATTAAATCACATGTTTTCTAGTATACTGATATTTTAATTATAACAATAAAAAAGTCTAGTTAAAATTACATCGTTATAACGGAGGTTCTACTGTATTATGCAATTAGAGTTTATGGCTAACATCCCTACAATTTGACCCATAGGATCATCCGATGATCCCACTAGACCTTCTTGCCACCCTATCCTTCGATTAGGATTAGAGAGTTAGAAAGTATCCCGAGACCTCAGCTCGGCCACTTTGACCTTCTACCCTCCCGACATCTTCATCGCAAAAACATGTTATTCGCTTCATTTTAGGATTGGATTCTCTCGAAATTCGATAAGATCAGACTGGATACTCCATCTTGGTATTTATTGACCTCAGCAGCTTTTTTTAAGTGGCCATCGATTTCATTTTTCAATTTAAAGCACGCAGTATATCCACAGCTGTTACCCAGGACTTCTTTCTCAGGAACAGCTACGAGGTTCCATATCGCTGCGGCCACTTCAAAAAACCACTGCAGTCAGTGTTAATAATGAAAGTGACATTTGGAACATCGAGCTCTCGCATGCAATGATTGATAACGTTGCCACGGCCGCGCGTTAACAGGAACGCAAGAAAAAACGTCACGGAATACCGAAATCTGGGCCGCAAAGGGGCAATATATATTCGATTGGATATTATAAGGACTTTGCAAATCTGCACAACCACCGTGATCGCTTAGAATCTCCCAGTGTACATCCAAACCGTATACTATCGGGCGATACCCGTTCTATAAATGTCTTGAAACGCGCTTTAGACAGTCTCGCGCTCGGTCTTCGTCACGCGGGCCTCGCGGCCCTTGTCGGACCATGGGAAGTGGGCGACTGGGACGACGAAGAAAGAGTTGCTGGTAATCTGAGTTAGCATTACTGCTCCAACCATCTTTGAATCGTGGCTTGACATACCTTGTGTCAGCGATACCAGCCAGAGCATTATACCATGCCAAAAACGCAGCAAACAATCCAAAGTAACCACCAGCCACGATGAGGCCAGGTTGCGGGATGTTAGCAGTGCCGGCAGCGTTAGGAACCAATCGTAGATGGCCGATCATGAGACAGAGGTAAGCAATATCCAGGGTGAAGAAGAGCATGAAAAATGCAAGCGTAGAACGAACTGTGCAGATAAGCAGGAGAGTGGTGAAGATGAACCACCCAGCCAAATAGAAGCCGATCGCATGGTTAAACTCATCCTTGTTCGTGTAGGCGCTGCCGATCGCAAAGCCACCGGGTGTCAAGATAATAGCGAACGAGATCCAGAATCCACCGTAAGACGAGAGCGCAGTAGCACCGAAGGTGTTGCCGACAGCCATCTCCCTGTGACAATCGTATTAACTGCATGGACGACGGGAGCGGGAAAGGTATAGGTTCGAAAACAAGTACATACCACATGCCGGCGCACAATTGAACGAAGCCACCATATCCGAAAGCGAGACTGACGATGATGTTGGGCGCGGCGACACCTCGGACTTTGATGTTAATCAGGGAAAGTACAAAGGTCGTCAACGCGAAAGCACAGAGGCCAAGGGGAGCAGGGTTGGCGAATTGGCGGTTGGGAGTCGGCCTGTAAAGACCTGGCTGGAATTCACCTCCAAAGGCAGGCAGACGGGCAGAGTCACCCGTGTGCGAGTGCAGGAGGGGATTGCCACCATAGTCGTATGCGTTGATCTTATCGCCAGTGGAAGAGTTGGTGCTGCTGCTGATGGCAGCAGCCTTCTCGTCGACCACTTGGTCTGTGTGTATCGACATAATGTCGCTTCGAGTCTCAAAAGGATCAGCAAAAATAAACTCGAACTGAGAAGAAGATGATATCGTCCCCTGCGAGACAGGAAAGTCACGGATGTTTGAATCAGTGGACAGCGAGTGACAGATATATGCATGTTCGAGGGTTTTCCTAGATGGATTCTTATTGGACGTGAGTCTCGGTCGGGAGGGGATTAGAGCCCGTCAGTTGCGGATGAAAGGAATAGTTACAAGGGCTCGAGTTGGAGACTAAGGGTGCTACTGGAACTCATAAGCCGCTAGTCCATATGTTGTGCATCAAACAAGCTCCTCGTCGTGATAGTTGACATGGCTGAGAAACGCCATTCTTCCCCACGCCCCGCACAGAATAGGAATAATAAGCGGTTAATGAGTAATCGTCCGTGATTACTCATTCAAAACGGCTACATCAACCGTTTAAGGGAGCCTTGGCAATTCATTTTAAGTTTATCCTAGCGTTCACCCTAACCTGTATCCTCGCTAGTTAGGCGCTGTGACTGTTTGCATGGGTGATCTGCAGTCTTTTGGATTGTGTTGTCTGGGGATGCGGTGGCCTCATGTCTGGTCCACGATTGTGGCCAAACGCCATGTGTCAAGTAGTACCAATCGCCACGTCTAGCTAAACCCAGTTCTCTCGGCCGGCCGGAGGAAGGTGGGTCGTGGGCTTGATCACATCAAAATGTAACAAAAACCTTCCTGCTCATCTGATTTCATCGATACGACGTTAGGATTCCCCATTTCCGCGGGGGCGAACGGCGAAACCGACGAAAACCATCAACATGTGGTGCAAACTCCATTATCGGCATCGGAAGTCGCGGATATGGCGGCACTGCGTTCATGTGCACGTAAGCCCTTACCAGTCGGCAGATCACCTAGCCTGAGCCTAGGCCAGCATTCATTTCTCCCCACACAATCTACAAGATATCGAAGTTCTCAATAATTCAGAGTCCCGCCCACAGGCCACCCGAAGGATGAAGTCCGCAGCCCTTCCTCGTCAGACTACCTAGCAGCCTCATCGCAATTAAAATACTGCTCTCACCGCCGAGGCATTTCGGCAGCGCCCACCGCCGCCGTCGTCTTCTCCTCGCTACAGCGCTCGCCTTCGAGCGCGATGGCGTCGAGGAGCATGGCGTGCCCGACTATGCAGCGCAGGTTGTAGTCATGTGTCGCGGTCAGACGGGCGAGCTTGCGACCCATGCGGGAAAGGGCATCGATCTGATGGAAGGAAGGTTCCTTAATGGGGGGCTCACTTCACTTCCACACTTCGGGGCACATCACTACCAACACTCCCGCACAGTACCAAACTTCGGCACTCGGAAACTATAGGATCCCCCATCTCACCGCCAAGATCTACGATAATCACCCAGATGTGAGGAATCATAGTACTAAAGATGAGAGGCGGCTTGAGCATAATACAAACAGACAAGACACTGGGAGAGCACCCAAACTACTTTGTCCACCATAGCTATCCATCTTCTCTTCCTCATGTTCCCCTCGATGGTCGGCGCTGTGGACATCTTCCGCTCGAACGACCCGTTGCCAATGCAAGCTGCGCAACTGACGTTGATATGGAAAACTCCAGGAAGGATCCTAAATCCTCTGGCTGAACCCTTGACGATGCAAGTAGGCTTGGGCTCTAGTGCTATCAATCTCAATGTGAGTGTAACTTGATAAAATCATTTCCATCATACGTTAGCTGATGTAATAGAATATTGTTATCGAAGGAAGCTTCAAACCAGTGAGCACGAACATCGCAGGAACTGTCAATCAAGGCGATATAGCTTTGGTATCATGCGACTCCAACAACTCTTCCTCCATGACTCAAGACGCCGTGGTCGGCTCAATTATCCCTAATAACCCCGCTGCCATCGTTCTATACAGCCTCGCTTCCGCTCATGGCGAAGTTAAGGACATCGGCCCATACATACAGTAATTCACTTTAAGGAACGTCTCATTAGAAACTATGAGGATGCTCGTATCTACGACATCAGCGAATGCAACGATTCGATCTTCCCCAGCTATTATTGCGCCACAGTCCACATAAAATCAAACTTCAGCCGCTGGCATGAGCGCACTGTACGTTATTATTAGCATTATCACAGTGCTCGTCCTGTTCCTCATTATCGCAGCCTAGCGAGCCCACAACAATCCAAGTCGGAATGGGCCTAGAACTGGCCATCGCGGTCGCTTAAGACAAAGCCGAGCGAAAGGGCTTGCCAAAGCAATGCTCGAAACCCTTCCGATTTTGAAGTTTTGAGACGCCCTCCCGTCAGAGGCGGAGCTTCGGGATACCGAACTCGATGACACACGTTCAGCCGAAACAGCCGAAACACCACAATCAACTGCTCATGTTACTACTGCTGATAGCAAACAAGAGGCTAGGCCACAACCGGATGTGGTCGCTGTTGAAGCTGATATTGCAACAACCCCCGAATCCGATGAACGCGGGTCAACATCATAACCAGAGCCTGAGCTATCGGACGAACACCTTGGATGTTCTATATGCACGGAGGATTTTACACAGGGTGAGAATGTCAGGGTTTTACCTTGTAACCATCAATATCATCCTGTATGTATTGACCCTTGGCTGCTAAATGTTTCCGGAACATGCCCATTGTGGTAAGTAGCCGGCCTCCACCAATTGTTTCACGTCCACTCTAGTATACCCTAGCCGCGTTGATCTTCAGCCTGTGGGCAGCAACACCGACGAGACCCCCTCTCCAACAGACGCGGAAGCGGATGAGACGTCAGCTGTACGGGGTGGTGAAAATGCCCACTACTCCCGCGTACAGCGGATCCTAGCTACGCGCCACGCGCCTATCCACGAACGCAAGGCGATTCTGAGGCAGCTAGCCAGCGAATTTGACCAACAGCGACAGACAGAGCCTAGCTCCACTACAGCAGCCGACGAGGGACCAAGAAATCAGCATAGTTTGGCGACAAGGATCTTCTCTAGTCGCACAAGGCGCAGCAGAAACGCGCCGGAGGTATCATCGGCAGTAGCCCCGGCCACTACGACTCCAACCGCCGGCAAGGCCTCGACGAGCCCTACAGCACCAGCTACCAATACGGCAACCGAAGAGGCTTCGCCAAGACCGTGAGCCCTGTGCAGAGCCCTTGGAATTAAACATTCCTATTTCAGATACGGTTGCATTAGGACTGGGTCGTTTTGGAGACGGCATACCACGTTTGCGATAGCAACCACCAGAAGCCAGCCCATGGCTTCTCAGACTGCAACGGTGGACTAGCAAACCCCTATCAAAATCAGTTCCTGTTCGTTCCCGATTGTCCACTGGTAGAAGCGGTGAGAGTGGCACTCGCGGTTACTTTGGCTGAAGCACATGTCGCTACCGTCGTCGAGGAAATGATGCGTGACTGCAGGTCTCCAACGTTGCTTGTCGATGGGTCTGGCGTTACCAGGCAACCACAAAAGTCAAAGATTCAAATATCGTGTTAACTTAAACCTTGCTACGTAAAAGAAGATGGAAAAACAGTCACAAACTACCCCCCACACCTAGAGCATAATGGGCCTAGTTCTCATCGAAGGCGAAAGCCAGATCGCCGACATATTACTTTAAACAGCTAATATCATAAATGGGCCTCTTTTTAATTCGAAAATCATAAATAGGCCTCTTTTTATATATAATATCATAAGTAGGCCTCTTTTTAATACAATATCAGGAATGGGCCTCTTTTTTTCTTATCGCGCACGTGCCTAATTATTCTGCTAGTTATATGACTAAGCATTAGCTGACTTTGATTTCCTGCTCTAATTGAAGTTACAAATTTAATTTACATAGCAGACGACTAAGGGTATTATGATGTCCTAGCTATTCCTATGCTCCTAGACTCTCAGACTCCTAATCCTCTATAAGTTCATCATTTCAATCTTCCTAGATATTCATATCTAGTTATATGCAGGCGTATGCGATGGACAAGCTACATGTCCTTTGCTTAGATGGTGACACGCTTAGCGTAAATAGCGGCTAGGTTAGTCACTAGATTGATTACTATAATGTTTACTATACCTTAAATTCATAGTGTAGTATATCTTCCTCCCCTTCTTCTTAGTCTTTAACAGTCTTGCATTTCAAGACAAATCTCATTGGCTTTAAGGTCTTAGTCTAGTACGATTGCCCGTTGTCTTTAAAAGCAGCTGTAATAGATAGCTTAGTGTAAGGCGGTCCTTACGTGATAGCACGTAAGGTGCTACGCTAAAGGTAGCCCTACAGTAGAGCTGTCATTTAGGTATAGCCCGGTTATTAGGGTTCACGGTATAGGAAGATATATTAGGGGCTAGAGCCTTAGGGGAGGACTCTAGTCAATAGTCGCTATATCTACGTAGACCTATTGTGCTTACTAAATACGATACCCATCCTGCCTCCTAACCTGGTTCCCTAGACTCCTGTGAGACCCTAGGCTTACGCTTTACACTTAGCTTCTTTCATTAAAGGGAAAACATCGCCTATTACTAGAGTAGACATTATACGAGTAAGGATATAGTAATATACGGCTAGGAATACTAAAATATAAAATGTAAATAGAGGCAGTTAGAGTTTTCACTCGCGTAATATGTTATAGGCGGTGAGCGATAAGAAAAAAAGAGGCCCATTCCTGATATTATATTAAAAAGAGGCCTACTTATGATATTATATATAAAAAGAGGCCTATTTATGATTTTCGAATTAAAAAGAGGCCCATTTATGATATTAGCTGTACTTTAAAAGCAGTTAGGTTCTATTTATTATATAAGAGCTACTTATAATTATAGTAAGTTATACTACTTATATAGGCTTTAAAGGCACTATGTACATTATTTAGAAATAGATTAATTAAAGTAATAGTAGCTATTTATATAGGTGTAGGTGTATAATATAAAGCTTTAATATTCTACTCTACTATTCTATCTTCCCTACTCCTTAGTAGGTTAGTAGTTTAGCTAGGTAGTTAGCTAACTAGAATAGTTAGTAGTTAGGCTAGAATATATTTAAGGTGTTAATTAACATTATGATCTTAGAGCTCTAGGTACTACCTAGAATCTCTATATAAGTATATATTAGTTAGAGACGTTAAAGGAACTTAGAGTTAATGCTATCTAGATAGTATATAATCTACTAATACTAGACCTACTAAGACTAATAGATAAGCTAGGCTTCATAGTTATTAATAATATTTTTAACTACTAACTAGAAGGGAAGAGTACATTAGACTTTTACTTAATATTTAAAGTCTAGCATAAGCCTAATGGCACATCCCCAACCACCTCCCTGATTTTCCATTGGCTGGGGGGCCCGAGCTGGCGAAGCTGGCGTTCCGAATGATATACCAGCGGGATGTACGGCCTGATATTGCTGGTGACATGGTGGTGCGGGATGAATACAAAGGCTGGTTTATAGAAGCTCGACCGATATCGTGAGTGATTTTCTTACGCACTTTCTTTGTCGGAAACATACGCTGACACCCCCTTGTACTGTAGTATGATTGATTACTACGGGGTTACATTCGACCATCTTGTTCAAGCCGATGACACAGATTTAGAAGTACTCCAAATCAATATCGTTGAGATTGAAGATGATGGCGGCGCTTATGCAAACAAGTATAACCCGTTTGATATAGATCCTGTCGAGTATATTGAGCAAAAAGTGCTTACTGTGCCCAGGTGCTGCCAGAAACGGAATGGGACCACGGATCAGAGGAGGGTTAATGATGGGGTAAATATCCGGGATGGGAGGGTTGTTCATATGGTTTATAAGTGAGATACTGCACGTTCATATGGTTTATAAGTGAAATACTGCACTATTCCATATTTTGTAAAGCCAGCAAAAAGCAGATATGTCTGTCTGTAGGATAATATAGCAGATCTGTGGAATTCAAAGGCGTGGTTCATGATCTGCAGTCTTGAGAAGTAACTCCGCTATATTCCAGTACTTTTTCTCGATGGCGATAGTGAGCGGAGACTGATTAGTACAATTTCGTGCGCCAATGTCAATGTCGGCCTTGCTAGTTTCAAGCAGTACTCTTACCACCTGCTCATTTCCCCATTTTGCAGCAATGAAGAACGCTGTATTAGCCATGACATCCATTGCGTTAGCTTTGATCTTACTATGCTGAAGTAGCATCGCCGCTGGCCCATGCTGAGATTTTGCCGCATATGAGAGCGCCGTTCTATTGAACGTGTCTTTTGCGTTAACTTCAATCTTACTATGCTTAAGGAGTAGTGCCACTGCTCCCTCACGTCCAAGCCTTGCAGCACACATGAGCGCTGTTAGGCCCCAATTTTTTTCTGTGTCGCCTTCAGCCTTTCTCGGTTTTGCTTTGATTTTGGCGTTGACGTTAACCTTGCTATGCTGGATCTGGATCTGAGAGGGAATTGGAGCATCTCCAATTCCCTCTCAGATCTAAGTTCTACAGCATATATAAGCGTAGGAAATCCGATGGCGTCTCTCCTGTTGACTTGAATATCACTGCGTCGAAGTGACAGCTCCACTACAGCCTCGTGTTGCCCTCCGATGGCTAACATAAGCAGCGTCCAATCGTCAAAATCTTGCATATTAACGTCAATTTCGTTCGAAGTTCTCTGGAACAGGTTTTTAATTGTTCTGTCTGCGGTAGACTGTCTCTCGTTGCTATTAGGATCATTTTGGGGCTTTAGAATCAACTGGACAAGCTTAAGAAGTCCGTTCTGTGATGCTATGTGCAAGAGAGTCATGTGTGTCTCTCTATATTGAACCTCCTTGAAGGAAGTGTTTAGGAGCTGCCCGTAGAGTTGTAGTAGCTCTCCTTGATTGGGATTTATATTTTCTACTATTTTTGCATGGTATGTCCAGTGAAAAGTTGCGTAGCAAAAGAAGGGATGGTCATCATCAAAGGCAATGGTGTTTGAAACCGGTCTATGGTTTGTCGTAGTGTCTTGTAGTGCCCGTACAGTATAGTATCTTGCAAGTATTTCCTTTGAAAACAAATAATGTATGCAAGACTTTAGTAGCTGTAGATGTACACGGCCAACGAAATCAAGGGCTGAAGGCCCAGAAGTTGGAGCGCCGTCGTCGAGGTACCGCAGCCCCCTTGAGACTAGGTAGTCGTACACTGATTGGTGTCTTAGATGCACAGTGTGTTCTTCGTCGTGCTTGTTGATTACTACCAAGTTGCACGAAAGCCTTTTTATCATATTTACCATTTTGTGATGATTTCTTCTGCACTCCACTGACTTCTGCCATACTAGACCAGATGGGTCAAATGCCATTGCATCGTATAGCTCGTTCACATGTAGAGGTCGCCGGGAAAAACAAATCCAGCGTAGAAGTCGCAGCGATTGTGATCGATAGATTATATCCATTATCTGAAAACTCTTATCATAAAGGTCGTCGAGTCCTTCAGGGAGATCTCCCAGAAATTCAAGAATGTGTTTTAATGGTGCAAAGCCTTTGATTAAATCTTTAGCCTTCTTAACGACAATAACAGCCCATTGAAAAATGCCAGAGGCCATTTCCACAGTCCACTTTATAAGTTCTCGAGCCTCATAGTGCTTTCCATTGATTCTAGCGATTTTGTTCTGCACATAAGTCCATATGTCTTGTCGATTTTTGTTCCCAATCGATATTTTGAGACCACCGTTCGCTAAGAAAGGGTAATCTCGGCGGGAGATACAGACATTCAAGCTAATTCCAAATCTGTCTTGTGATGTCAAGCTTTCGAAGTACTCTGCTAACTCCATAGGTACCTCACCGCCGTTAGGTACGTTGCCGCCGAACTCATCAAGTGCATCTATGTAAACACGAAGTATGTATTCCTCTGGATATCTCTTTGCGATGTGTAACATAAAATCCTCTAGCATTTCTTTCAGGTCACGTTCATGCCACTCCCATTTTATTCCAGGTTCGCCTTGTAACTCGCATCTTTTGTCGAACTCCGAAGTTAAATCAGACGGCCATGTTGGAATCTGTCGTAGGATCTGGTGCAGCAGAGAGCGAAACAACCCAATGCGGGTTTTCTGAAGAGGGGCACCAGCACTGTAGCAGAAGAAAGAAACCAGAATGATCTTTTTCTGGGCTCGCTGGGGTGGTCCTTGCTTGTCGACCTTAGTTTCTGTCTGCAAAGTGTCTTGCTCGTATATGTATTTCATAAGCGTCGATTTTCCTGACCCAGGGATCCCAATAATCCATAGCAGACTTTGGCTTTGCGCAAGCCAGGATTTGTAGTCAGGTTCGTCACATAGCCACTCGCATGTGTCTTCCACAGCTTCTGATATGTCCTTTTTGTGGTGCTCCATCTCGGGAAAATACAAGGATTGTAGAAGAGCTATAGAGTAAAATCAATATTGAACTGGATATAAAATGCGATTGATTAAGACAAGACATACTAATAGAGTTCTGAAAACCGGAAAAGTCTATATAGCATACATTTGTTAAACCAAAACATCGTTCTCATTAAGGTGCGTCCTTACTATGATAATTGAATGCCCCTGCCCCATTATTATTTAGCTGCGGGCCCTTTCCTGTATTACTGTTCGTGTAAGTGCCTTCTCCAATATTATTATTCGTGACCCTCCTCGCTATGTTATTTCCACTTCCCGAGCTGTGCTGAATGATAGATCCACTATCTTCAGGGATCGAAGGAGGCATGTCGAGCATTTCTTGAATCGCCTCTTCAAGTTTCTTAATTTCATCCCCAGTCGCCGTTCCCATTAATTTGTCGCACGTCACCAGCTTAATGTGCTCCATAATCTCTCCCATTAATTCCTCTACTCGCTTCCCCTTGCCTACTGCAGCGACGGCCTTTTTATACCGTTCCAACCGGTTGGCATCTGCATCGGGTAGAACCGCTTTGAATATTTTGTTTAGCGCTTCGACCTTCTCGTGGCAGGCCCTGATATTGTTCTCGGCTTCATTCGTTTGCTCGTCATCGAGCTTCGTTGCCTGTCCTTTCTTCTCTGCATTTCGAAGGATCGTAAGCACCAGTGGAAATTTCGCAGCAATGCTACGAAACTCTTTGGGTAGGCCTTTGGCGTCTTTGTAGGCTGAGTGGAGAGATTTCGTGGATTTGACGATTTCGATTGTTCCTGTGATGAGGCTAATGATGACCCCAACCTCACCAACGATAGACATGACGAGAACAGCTGAAATACAACTGTCAGTACTTTTAACAACTGTGACAACAACGGATTTTCCCACCTAGCGTTTTTCGACACTATTTCTCTAAGCAGTTGATATCTAACCTCAACTTACAGAAGGGTCGAAGTCGTTATTGTATGTGGATTCTCTTCTCCTCACGGCACGCCCGCCTAGCCTCGTTTGTGACGACCACCATGTCGGCTTGCATCTTCACCGACTGGACGTCTATAAGTGGCGCAACTGAGCAGGACTTGACTGGCTAGCCTTGTTAACGTAAACATACATTGTACTAAACTCCGCGGAAGTGTTCAACATGCCAATCGGGTGTTCAGTATCTGAAGGGGGGCGCTGGTTGTTCCATCCACCAAACCTAATGATGTTTCCATATAAGTAACCGGATCTCATCTTCGCCAATTAGGAGAGGTCGATAGCGAGACTCCTAGGAATGAGCCGTCGCAAAATTGGACAGCACTCCTGCCACGAAACTATGAGTACCTGCTCAAGACGAGTGTACGAAGTCACCATCCAGGCTGTTGTTGAGCTGTAACTGCGGACACCTTGCCAAGGGCAACCCAACTATTTCGGCTTTCTTTGACTGTGGCCGTATATGATAATTGCTCCCATATGTAGTCTAAGTAAACCAGTATTAGTGGGAGGCTCGGCAGTCGAGATGAGTTGCAGTAGTCAGGGCATATAATAGATGAGGCAGTAGGATGCGAGTGATGGAAACGAAGATCCAAGAGGCGAGAGCGGGCGCCAACTGACCGTCGTCCTCGAATGGCAGTTTGCGCAATAGCCTCAATCACGTTTGTATCAGAGCCAACGACAGGACAAATATCTTCTCTTATTACAGATAAACAGCACACTTGACTTATCTCTTCACTGGCAGTTGTATATTCTTGTATGCATTGATTAACAGCCATGATATCGTGCCCTAGTATACACCCCAGCCTAAGAACTACAGCTACACTGCATCCCCCTCCCCTCCCTTGGCACATCTCCCACCCACCTCTCCTCCTCCTCCCGGTCTCCACCCCACGTCTCCTCAAAGGGGTTCAGCGCCATCTTCATCACGCGCCCCAGTACCTCCCTCTCCCCTTCCTTCTCCACGCGCCGAATAACCTCGTCCAGGATCCACGATCGCGGGATGAAATTCGGGTTCACAGCCCTCATAGCCGCTTGCCTCTCCTCCTCCGCCTCCGCTGTAACTTCCTGTGCGGCCCAGTCCTCTACAACTCTCGCACGCCACTTATCCAACCACACGCCAACACGCTCCCTCGCCACAGCCTCATCCCCAACCACCCCCTCCTTATGGAAGAACAACCCCGCCTTCTCCTTCCTACCCTCCTCGGTCTCAATCTCTTTAATGTACACCCCACTCAGCCGGCGGAAGAACTGGTTAAAATCCAGCTTCAGCGCCTCCATCGTATCTAGTAGCTCGCTAAACAGGGTTTCGAAGTCATCTGGCTTGTGAACCTTGAGTCCCAGGCGCGCAGTCATGAGGCGCTTGTACTCTTCCAGGAATACCGCCTTGTACTCCTCACCCGTACGTGTGATGAGCCCCTCGGCGCGCGAGACGAGCTCGTCGGCGTCTTCCTGCCTGACACCTTTTTCGACGAATTCAGCAGCGTCGACGCCAGCGCCAGCGCCGATTAGCTCGCCGAGGGTTTCGCCCAGGCGCACGAGGTTCCACCAGATGATAGTGGGCTGGTTGCGGTAGGAGTAGCGTAGCATGCCGTCGTCGTGGTTTGGGGTGTAGTTAGGGTCGAAGGTGTCGAGGAAGGCAAAGGGCCCAAAGTCGAGGGAGAGGCCCATGAGGGATGTGTTGTCAGTGTTGAGGACGCCGTTGGTGAAGGCGTAAGCTTGCCACGCTGCAACGGTCTTGGCGTTGCGGCGGGTTATTTCGCGGTAGAGTCTGGCGTATCGGTTTTCCTCCAACCCAGACGGACCGTCGATTGTGTCTTTTTCAATGGGGGTAGATGGGGGCTCAGCAGTATCTTGCTGGTCGTCTGGGAGGCGAGCGGGAAGGGAGCTCCACCCGCTGAAGACATGCTCGGCGGTGTAGTCGGCGAGCTTGCGGATGAGGTCCCTGTCACCACGGGCGCGGAGGAGATCAAATGTACCGATGCGTAGCCACGATTGTGCAAACCGTGTTACGATTGCTCCCGGTTCCGTCCTTTCGCGGCGGACCTTCGAGTGTGGGAGGAGAGTGAGGGACAGGGCACGGGTGGTTGGAATGCGAAGGGCATTGAGTGCTTCGGAGACGACGAATTCGCGGATCGATGAGCGCAGGACTGCCTTGCCATCTGCGAAGCGCGAGTATGGCGTCATCCCAGCTCCCTTCAGTTGTAACTCGTATCTAGTCTTCGTATCAGGGTTTGTCGTCTCGAATAGGGAGATGGCGCGGCCGTCGCCGAGTTGACCGGCCCAGGACCCGAATTGCCAACCTCCGTAGCATTGTGCCCAGGGGTATCCCCCTTCTTGCTTGTCTTCGTTCCACCCAAGTAGCCTATTACCAGCAACGAGCTGGCGGAACTCTTCTGTCTCTGCTTCCTCTGGCTTTATCCCCAGGTCTCTTAGTGCCGCGGTGCTAACTCCGAGTAGTTCAGGGTCCACCGCCTCCTCAGGGCGCACCCAAGTAAACAGGGCACCTTTGACCATCCGAGGGCCTAGATCATCTCTCGGTGTCTTATGTGATATCGCTGGGCTTGGAAACGCAGAGTCGGCAGGCAGATTGGCCGTAAAGTTCCATGACTTCCGGAGATCCTTCAGGGCTACGCCTCGGGAGGGGCCACGGGAGGAGGCGCTGCTGGTGATATGGGACGACATCTGCGCGAAACGTGCGCAGGTGTTCACAGGTCGTATCAATTGTCGGAATAGCATGCCATATATACCAGTAATATATATGTAAGAAAGCGCTGAATAATGTATGGAGATGAAATAAAGTGCTGAGGGCGGCGGGAGTGACGTTATGCCGTAGCCGGATAACAAGCCTCAAACGTGGGATTTGTGGCGATAACCGATAAGGAAACAGCTCAAATATAGATCTCGATTTCTTCAAGTATAATTTTACACAATGCTGGATTCCAGGCTCATTCTAGAGGGGCAAAGTAAATTTCTTCATAGTTCATTCATATCTACCGCTAATTAATGTAAATTGGACCCTGAAGTCTACGGCAAACCAGTTCCGGTAGGCTCCACCTGTCTACCGACAGTAGTGCAACAGAGCTCGTCATACCCCGCCATTGCCCCTCAAATATATGTCTACACTTCCCATTTTTAACGCATTCTGTGTGCAATTCCTCGGTATTAAAGCCGAAGCTGCGATAAAGCTACAACAATAATTCTATCTTAACAATTTGTCAACATGAATTCCACTACAGCTTCCTACAACCCCTCTCATGAAGGGAACACTAGTGCCGATTCCCCAAAAGAGGTCCAAGGAGTCCCAATCCTCGCACTCAACGATGGCCACAAGATCCCCATGGTTTGTTTTCACTTCTGATTCCCATTCTCGCAAACTTCAAGCTAACCGTATCCCAGCTTGGCTATGGTACCGGCACCGCCCAGGCCCGTGTAGGGAACACCGGCAACGACATAGACGAATCTCTTGTAGCTACGATCCTCATGGCCATCCACGCCGGCTACCACCACCTCGATGGCGCCGAATATTACGGTAACGAGCGCGAGCTCGGTGAAGCAATCAAGCAATCCGGCCTCCCCCGCTCAACCTTCTTCGTCACCACCAAAATACCCGGCACCGAACCCACAGACACTGAGGCTAGCATCACCGCCTCCCTCGAGAAACTCGGCCTCGACTACGTGGACCTTTACCTCATTCACGCTCCCTTCTTTGCCTCCACGGACGCTGAACTGCAGGCCAAGTGGGCCGAGTTTGAAGCCGTCAAGGCCAGCGGCCGCGCACGTAGCATTGGCGTTAGCAACTTCTTGCAGTCGCACCTCGAGACGATCCTCAAGACCGCCAAGGTCGTGCCAGCCGTCAACCAGATTGAGTACCACCCATACCTACAGCACAAGGGCCTGGTAGAGTTTAACCAGGAGCACGGAATCGCGACAGTTGCGTATTCGCCGCTGGCGACGCTGCTACACGCGCGACCAGGGCCAATGGACCGCTATTATTCGAACTTGGCAGCGAAATATGGGGTTACTGAGGCGGAGGTAGCGTTGAGGTGGGTAGTGGACCAGGGGATGGTGGTGCTGACGACTAGTTCGAAAGAGGATCGGTTGAAGGGATACTTGGCGAACATTGGGAGGTGGAAGCTGACGCCGAGAGAAGTGGACAATATTAAGGAGATTGGAAAGGAGAAGCATTATAGAGGGTATTGGAAGAACAAATTTGCGGCTGACGATAGGTCGTAGAGTTGCAAAGATAGTTCTCAGGTTACTCGCGCGCCAAAGCGCCAACTATTTAATTCTTCTAATGTCTTGTCTTGAAATTTGCATTGTGTTTAGAATTATCATTGTGGAGGCTGTATATAGCCACTTTCCTGAAGGCAGAATGAAGGCTAGTTTCCATGGGTATTCCGATTCCTATAGTAAACTCCGTGTGCCACAGCTCATGACGTGCAAGAACTCCTAGTAAACTCCAAACGCCAGCTCATGCACCAAGAACCCATTTCTTTCACCTCAATCTCAATCTCACCTCGTCGCGCCGCTTCCCTCCACTCTTGTCCCCACCAACGCCCCCATCCTCTTCCTCTCATTCTCCAGCGCCCTCTTCTTCCCCTCCACCACCAAATTACTCTGCAGCTCATACGCCTTCATTTTCGCTGCTGCCTCAGCCGTCAACGCCAACACCTTCTCCGCCGCTCCACGCCCCAACTCCTCTCCCTTCGGCCGCTTCCACTTCTCCCTCTCCGCGGGGTCGCGGATCCAGTCTCCACCTCTGAACTCGAACTCCCTACTCGTTTTCTTTGGGTCTGGCCTTGCCGCCAGGCGCGAGATAATTGCATCCATCTCCTCTGCCGTAACATCCTGCGACGCTTCGCTCACTCCCCCTTCCGCGGCAGCGCGCACCTTACCACGCTCAGCGGCAATGATGCGATCACGTTCCTGGAGAGCAAGGTGAATCTGTACCCGCTTTGCAGCTTTCTTCTGTGCGGTGAGGTTCTCAATCGTCTGAACGAGGGTAGCTTCGCGGGTTAGGGGCGCAGAGGAGGGGATTGTGGGAACTCCGTGGAAAGGGAGGAAGATGGAGGGGAGGAGGCTGATGGTCGGGGGAGTAGGTGTGGCTGGTGTGGCAGGCTGTAGGTTGTTAGTCAGGCATTTGAGGAGTGAGCGTTAGGAGTCCATACCGACGTGGTTGTGTCTGTTAGCTGTACCGGTGGCGGAGGTGAGATACGGTGTCGCTTTGGCTCGTCGAATCGCTGAGGCACATCAAACGAGACGCGTTTGGCAAGAGGTGGCCTGTTTGAAGGTGGAGGTGGTCTAGCTGGGAATGTATGGCTTCTTTCCAGGGCAGGAGACGCTGGGGCTGCGGGCGCCGTCGTGTCGATCTCCATCGGGTCCATTATTGCCCTAGTGGTGATGTTGGCGTGGAGGTGAACTCGAATTTTGATTACTGATCAGGTTGAGGTTGAGGTGTAGGTCTAGACTAAAAGCTTTGTTGAGTGTTCTGGCGGCTAGAAGGCGCGCCTTCCTAATTGATCCTTGTAGGTGCGGCTTAATAGGTCTAGATATAGAGGTGAGAGTCTGCCATAATGCTGGATTTATAATCCGAGAGGAAAACGCTTATGAGGGTGTTACGTTACACGCTCTTGATGCAAGCCTTTCCTTTGTGTAGGTGAATTCTAGGCTCACCTTTACTCAACACTAATACCAATGAACAGGTTGCCTGTGTAGTTAAAACTACTTGGAATGAATTTAGACATGTAGTTTTGTGGCCATCTGCTCACTTACTACCTATCACATCAAACAAAATCCAAGCCCTTATTAATGAATAATTTGTTCCTGTTCATCCAAGGAGGTTGTTCCAACAGATTAGGCTGAGAGAAAGGGGAACCACGTGCATTCATGGGTTGGTGTTTGTAGTCACGTGGAATCTAGTATCTGGTAGGTAGGGAGGGAACTGCCGACTTAGCCCTTAGTATTAGATCAGCAAATCCCGTAGAAGAGAAATCGTGATATCATGCATCTAGATCGCCGAGGTTCGTATAGAGCCTCACGCTACTGGCAGCAAGACCTGCGCTTTGTCAGAAATGACGTGAAGCGCGAAGCAATATATGCAGAAAGCTTCGGCTTGCTTTCCCCGCGTTTGTTGGGTAAAAGAGGGGTCCGAGAGCTTCATATTAATACTCATGTAATTTATTTTTCTATTGCTATATATACGAGCAGAAAACCCCATCGTCTATATAAGCTTTCTCTATAGGATCTACCCTTATAATACAGCATACATACACTCTACTAAACGAACCATCTACCATGTCTACTCAAACAGGAAGCTGCTGTTGCGGCAACATCAAGGTCACCGTCACCGGCGAGCCTGTGAAGAACGCATGTCCTACAAATCGCCGTGAACATGAACGTAGTATCTAACAGCATACTAGGTCCTCTGCCACTGCCTCGATTGCCACAAGACCTCGGGTTCGGTGTTTAGCCACAACGCATTAGTACTTGACAAGGACTTCACTCTCGTCTCCGGTACCTAGCCTCGCCCCCTTCCCTGCTCCTCTCTTTTCCCACACTGACGTCTCTAGGTACTCCTAAGGAGTTCACTAAGAAAGGCGACTCTGGGGGCGTCATCACGTCGCACTTCTGCGGCGATTGCGGCACGACGCTGTGGCGTAGCGGTGACTTCTTTCCGGGAGGGAAGATCGTGAAGACGGGCATCATAGATGATCTGACTTGGGTGGGGGAAAGGCAGGCGACGGGTGAGCTGTTCCCCGAGCGCAAGACCGCGTGGATTCCCAATCTCGTGAAGTCATAAGCTTGAAAATGTGGTTGAGAGTGCGACGTGTTTAAATTTCTTGGTGTTGGATTTGGTATATAGTGATATACAATGGAGAGTTTGTGGCGATTCGGGGGTTAGAACTGCCGTGACAACTGTGATGACAACTGCCGTAGCCGTGAATGTTATTATCAGCAGCTGATGTAATCGGACTGGGTTCAGCGAGGCGGTAAGAATTGCCGTATGTAAGCTCTCCCCTGTCTGAGAAACTCCCGCACCAGATCCTCGAGTCGGCGATCCTTCTTCTTCCGCATCCAAATGAGTACCAGCATCAGGAAGAACGCATCGAAGGCCACCTGCTTTAATGCAGCAAATAGCAGCCAGCCCAGCCAGGCGCCAATCGTGCGTCGCCTCTTGTCCCTCCACTCCCTCCCCGAAGCAATCTGCTCCCGCAGCGCTGCTACCTCGGCAGTCATCTTCACTAACGTCGACTCAACCTTCGTCCTCCAGGGCGTCCCCTTCGCCTTGTCTGCATCCTGGATGTCCTCGTCCGACCCATCCTCCCCCTCAACAAGTCGCCGTACGTGTTCCCTGTCCGCCTCATCGTCCTGGGACATAGGGCTTAGCACTTTCATCGGGCCCTCGCTGCCTGACATGGGCGCCGTAAATCTACGTCCCGACCCTCCGCGGGGTGGTGACGAATTTGACGAGCTCGCGCTGTTATGTTTAATTTGGTCCCAGACGAACTCTAGTTCGGCAACTAGCTCCCTCGAGTCCCTGTACATACTTGCGTTAGTAACCAGTATCGAGAGGTGCAGTATGGGAAACTCACGAAGTCGTACTCGCATAACGGTGCATAGTCTCGATCAATGCTTCGATATACCTTCTCTTAGCCTCCGTCCGGCTAACACCCTTTTGTGCATCCCAAGCATCCCACTTCTCCTGCTCCCTTATTGTGTCCTCATCTTTCGTATATCCCCCACCACCCGGCCTATCCATCACGCCATCCACATCCCCCTCCATAGCTTGTTTGTATAATCCATAGAGGCGTAGGCGGTCGGCCGGTGGCGGCCGAGCAGAACCGGTACGTGGGATTTTCTTGACGGTGTTGAGGGCGTGCACAAACACACGATCTAAAGTAGGGAACATTGTCAGTCTACGTTCTTCGAATTGAGGTCCGGAGGTCAAGTGGTAGGCATAAGACAGAGTACACGCGACATCCGGAGGTCCGTATGAGGTGCTCTGAGGCAAGGTATCAAGGGGTTGCAAACTCACCAACTGAGTCAGCCATCCTGTCAGCGTTATGTCATTGAAGCCAATGTCGCCCTGATAGCAAGTGTAGAAAGCGCGTCTGAGATATAAATCCAGAGCAGAGCGCTAGTTATATCGTTGCCAGAAAGGACAAGCCGCTATTATAGTGATGTTTGGAGATTAAAGGTCATGCATTGGGTCCAGCCGGACGGCTCCACGAGAAAGTATGGGGGGGAGCCGAGGCACGGCGGTACCATTTGGCAGGCACAGAAGTGACAGCCAACGCGTTCGCCCGTGACAGCCGATAAGAAGGTGCGATAAGCGTGAGTATGGCTGGAGAGCCAAACCCCAAGGTGGCGTACTACTATTCAGAAAATGCTTATGAATCCATATGGCAGCCTCGCATCTTCCACCACTATCTATGTGCTGTAATATATTTCCTACAACAACAACCCCTTCTATACAATGATACAATAACATCGATCTCTAGAGATTCGTTCTCTCATTATTTGATATACACACACCACATACCGATATACAGCACAATGGCAGCTGCAGAAGTCGCCCCGCTCTCTCCGGATGCAGATGAAGAGACTCAAACTATCACCCTCTCCCACCACAACACTCCCCAGACTCTCACGCTCCCCCTCTCTGCAACAATCGCCGACCTCTCCGCCGCCGTCACCTCGACCCTCTCCGTCCCCGCCACAAACCAAAAATTCATGATCCCAAAGCTCGGCCTCCTCAAACCGCCCTTCAAAGACCCCGCCCTCCCAGTATCCTCCTTCGCTGCCGCAAAGATAACACTCATGGGCGCCACCACCACCGAGCTACAATCCCTCAACGAAGCTCGCGCTGTGGCTGAACGAACCTTCACACGCCCGAAGCCGCGGCAGACGGTACAGGCCTATAAAACACACGACTGGAAGCGCGAACAGGAGGAGAACCAGTACACCTTCGCCACCCTCCGCCCCCTACCGTATCTCCCCAACCCCTCACGCTCGCTCGCGTTTCTACAACGTCTTAAGGATGATGCGGGCATCAAGGCCTCGATGCGGAAGCATAAATTTTCGGTGCCGCTGCTGACGGAAATGAATCCCGTGGAGCATACAACGGCATCAATGGACGGGGTGTCGCGCACGCTGGGGCTAAACCGCAATCGCGGGGAAGTGATCGAGCTGCGTCTGCGCACGGATGCGTACGACGGATACAGGGACTACAAGACGATTCGACGGACACTGTGCCATGAGCTGGCTCATAATGTGTGGGGTGATCACGACCGCAATTTCTGGAACCTATGTCATGAGATTGAGAAGGAGGTTGAGAAGGCGGATTGGAAGACAGGCGGGAATGTAGTAGGAAACGAGGAATATTACGAGGGTGGCGGGGGAGGGTTTGGTGAGGAGGAAGCGGAGGATGAAGGGGGGTGGACTGGTGGGGAGTTTGTGCTTGGTGCTGCCACGGGGACCGAGGGTGTCGGCGGGCCGGCAAGGGGGGAGGCGGGGTTGAGTCGAAGAGAGGTTCTTGCTAGAGCTGCGGAGGAGAGGATCAAGCGGCAGAGAGAGCAGGAGAATGGAGGGGAGGACCTCAGTAGGCCGTGAAGAAGACTTATGATATGGTCATTACCCTTTCCATGGCAACTGGAGCTTACAAAGCTAACTGGATGCCTTCTTCTACGACGACTAAAGTGTACTATTAAGCTCTAATATCCTATGTAATTAACAACTTCAAATGAGAGTTTTGCATAAGAATAGCTTGAACCCCCAATCGCCGCTCGAAATGTTTTACAGTAACTATATGAATCTTTCTACGAGTTAGTTACTTAAAAATGAGAAAATTTTCTATTAGCTACAGCTACAGCTATCAGTTGTCAGCAAGCACATCCTAAGACTTTTTGGCAGCACGAGTATGAAAGAGGCACTGAGAATTCCTGTGTTCAAACCAAAACCTTTAGAATTATAAGCTACGGAACGAGCTCTATCAAAACAACGCACGTCTCTAGAATTATAATCTACCAAAACATCATCTATCAAAACAACGCAGACTTCTAGAATATAACAACTTCCCCCTCATTCTAAAACCGACCCCTACAGAACTAAAAATTTCCTATCTTCATCTACCCCCTCATCCTCCGTGATCCACTCTTGCTCAATTCCCGACAGAGGCTCTTCACCCCGCTCCTCTTCCACAACCTGGCACGAATCACTCGGATACGAATCCGCATAAAGGCCTGCGTACCAGCCATAACTAATATCGTAACCAATCTTCTCCAGAAACTCCTCTCGCTCAGTCTTGCACGTGCACCCGTCATGGAAGTCCAGCAGTGCGTCCGGCGTCATGTAGAGTAGTCGCATGATCTTGCGGCCCACGGACATGTCGTCTCCCCAGGACTCAGCGGCCATGGCATCCCTCACCGACTTGCCTTTCAGCTTGTCGGGGGCGAGCATAGCGTCATTTCCGTATGAGCTGTAGGTACCGAAGTAGAGCAGGTCACGCGTCGGATGTCCTTGGTTGTAATGCAGCTGCACCGCGGAGTTGGAGAGGCAACAGTCATGGGTGAGAGTGTCACGGAAAACTGCGCGGAGTTCGTCGATCTCACGCAGCTCACGCGTCCGGTATTGTCTCAAGATGCTAGGGCCCACGGAGGCCTCGAAATCCATGGTGTAAGCCGAATTGTACGTCCAAAGTCGGTAAATGGCCCGACGAAGTCGATGCCTTTCCTCCTGGAGGAGAAAGCGCCGGTTTTCAGGCTTGACGCGCCATCGAAGCATGGGGTAGAGCGCAACCCATCTATTGGCAGTTCGCCCGCATTTGGCAATCTGCTTGGCCAATGCAAGAGAGAAGCATGGGTCACGGGTCTGGTGAGGGAGTTCGCTGGAGTTGAGCGTCACAAGCTGTGTAACGTCGTGCAGAGGGCCGAATTGAGTTTCGAGAACGTTCTGGACGATTATAAGCTTCCGCGAACTGGCGTAGGCTCGGTGAAAGAGGTGGCAGGTCGCAGACAAGGCACAGATGGACTCTATGTCTGGTAAGAACCCGAAAATAAGTTGCACAATCTCTAATGGCAGGTACTGCATGTCTGATTCTTGATTTGCTTGAAAGCGGGCTTCATGCGAGCGCTTTCCGCCTCCCAAGAAGCTTGAACGGTCTCCGTGTAGCAGGCTATCAACTCCAGGTATCAAAGAAGAAAGTCGTTTATTGGTATGAATATCGTGCGAAGCTGCGGAGGTCGTTGCAGCGTAGGAAAGGGGATTTGCGTGATGGGGGAAATGGTGCAGCATCATGAGATCCATGATTACAGAGTTTCTTTTGAGTCAAGGTATGGGTATGTTGGTTTTCAGTCTTCTACATTGTGTCAGCAATTGCAGTCAGAAGATGGGAATATAACTCAAGACAATAGTAATAGGGCACTCACAGTTATTGACAAGCCAATTCGTGTCTAAACAACTTGGGAAATGCCAGCGAGGAACAGTTTCGCAGCGTCTCAGTCTCAGCTTCCTCCTCGACCCCCAATCTTCAGTCTATCTCAACACTTCTCACACCAAAGGAACAGGTATCAACCAGAGGTCTCGCAACAGAGTTTGCTCGATTCCAATGAATTGACTGACGAGTGATGAACTGCGTTTGCAACGCTTGTGTCACACCACCGTCAAGAGCTGTGATAAGTAGCTCAGCTCTTGGAGACCCCGTCGTTGGGGCTATAATAAAAGCCGAGAACATCTTGCGAGGTTCTCACGTTTTTTGCGCTCAGCCAGCGTTGGCTAAAGGGGATTGAGTTACTCATGATGATCGATGGGGAGGGAAGGAGAAGATTTGGGTGCGACGTTGGTTGTTTATACTCTGGGGGTGACAGGGGTGCCAAGTGCCAAGACCAACGTCGGTATGAGCTCTGACTCTGACTGTAACCCATTTTAATATGATGTGACGCAAGGTAATTTCATTTAACAGACATTTTCAACATATCCATAATCACGAACGGATCATAGTCACAATTAGAATAGATATATAATTTAAATTTCTTTCATAATTTTGCTCAACTACGGTTTCTAGCCTTAAAAGATGATCTCTTCTCGATATCTATCAAAGTATTAGCATTATGAAACCCATTGATGCCTTGACGTAGATAAATATTTGAGTTGATTCAGAACATGTTTCTTATCTCACAGAGCACTGTGTGCCTCAACGAGCTGGGTTATATATCTGGTCTCTTGACCATTTGTCATCATTTAAGAGGGTATGAGGGAGTAAAAAAAATAATAATAACATACCAAATTCGGACCAACATTGAAAACACATCAGTTTGAAGATGTTAACCTCTCTTCATGCACCGTTATCCCATAGAGTAATGAGAAACGGCGCTTGGTAAGGAAAGGATATGGTATCTGATCTCGGCACGATGAAAATAGTATTCCTTCAGCATAAGAGCATGGGAAAGCTCGGAATGCTGTACACACTAATGCCTTGCATGTCACAGCACACATCACCAACGGGAAGGGGAACGAAACAAAAAGTCAGTTGTCATCAAAAAGCTCTGTTGGTGCCACAATACAGTTACCGATCCGCATTATACTCAACCCAACACCCACAACGCCGTCCATGCCATCCCAAATGCGAAACCCGCGATTAAGCAAACAGAGCCGCCGCATCCAGCCCATCCGTGGGCTTCTGGAACCCGTCTGATCGCAGGCCCAACTCGTCGTGCCGCGCCAGCTTCTCGATACTCTGCTCGGCGCGCTGGTTGTACCTGCCCGCCTTCTTGTGTCGGATGTCGGAACGGACTTGGTTGGGCGACACGAACTCCTTGTTCTCGTAGATCACCGGTCCACCAAATGAACCCTCGAGGATCACGATTGGCGTAAGCACGAAACGCGGGCCGATCTCGACGAGGCTGACCTCGGTCTCTGAACCCTTAACCTTCTTGGCTTTCTTCGCTGCGGCCTCGGCGGCCTCATCTTCCTCCTCTCCTGGCTTTACTTTCGAGGGGATCGATTCGCTGATCTGGTAGTTGCGGATCCATACCTTACCATCGGCGAGGGTAAAGCCCATAACGTGGTCGACGAACGGCTTAACCTTACGGGCGCCCTTTGGTACGCCGAAGATGTGAAGGAACATCTCCTTGAGGAGACGGAGATGTGGCTCTTTATCGAATTTGGCATCGAACGAAAGGACAGGCCGGGAGCCTTTCAGGCAGTTACCGGTGAAGTGGAGCTCTTCCATAGTGTGTACTGTATCTAGTGAGCAATAGCCTAGAAGTAGAAGTAGTGAAGAGCCTTACAATTTTGCATGTGCATCTTAACTGTCGGTCCGTTGGGCGCCTTGCTCATCCACAGGTAAAGATCCTTTCCCTTCCTGGCCTCGAAGAAAAACACATTGTTGCAGTTGTATAACTCAGCAAGTTCGTTTAGTTGATATAATTTCGTCTTGGTATCAAGCTTGACATCCTTTCGGCTGTGGGGAAGGAGGGAGTGAAGGTCATTAAGTAGATGGCGATGTCTATTGCGCTTCAAGTTAATATTCTAGGTGCTTCATCCGTCAACTGGGGAATTCCAACCTGTATGTAACACCTCTTGACGAGAGAATCAAGACTTTTTGCTTGTTCCTCTTGATTATGCTGCTTGCGCCCTCCTCCTTTCCGTTCGTAGGCTTCGATAATGACTTATAAACGGACGCCATTGTGGTAATGTCCTTGAAGTTGTGAGAGTCGCGAAATTCTCTAAATCTTCTTGAGTTTCTCAATCGCAACTCGAGAACTTTTTGGCGGAGTTATCTTAGCGCAAGGCTAAGATTGCCTATATTACGCTAACCCACAAACGGTCAAGCTCTGTTTTGCTCAGGTCGAAGCATCATGGGTTACAGGTTGGAGAGGAGACCTCGTAAATAAATCAATACTGAGAATTATGATCATACTCTAGGTTAAATACAAACAGAAATACAAACACATTAATCACTGTTTGTGTTCATTCGCACCAGACATTCATATTGACAAGAATTCAGGAAATACTGTTACACGTGAAGGAACCCAATCTTCATGCCGAATCCAAAAAGGGAACACAATGGATGATTATAAAAATCCATTTGAGTAGACCGGTACAAAGCAAAAAGTCATCGCTCAAGACCAGAACCCGGCGATCATGAGATGAGACCCCCTTTCATCCAGTTTCCGTCTTACAGACAAGTAAATACGCCACCGCTGTATCAATCAAACAATCTCTTTCACCAACCAATATCTGTGAATCGAAGGGGTATAAGTTCCCTAACAGCACTTTCCTCCCTTGGCGGAACCATCATCTGCCGGCTTGCTGAGTGAGATATTCGTGCCTGCGCCGATGTTGGCCTGGGCTCCGTCGCCGCTATCAAGGGCCTTGCTCGAGACGATACGGTAAATTTCTAGCAGGGGGGGTTAGCTACTGGACTGGCAGAATATCCTGTTTTCGTTCTGGACGATCGTACCTGTGAGGATGTTCTGGAAGGCCAGCTCGACGTTGCTGGCATCGAGCGCGGAAGTCTCGATGAATGAGAGTCCGTTGTCACCTGCGTAGTGTCAACTCGAGTCTCTTTCGCATAGTATTTTGATATCACGTACTTGCGAACTGCTTGGCCTCCTCGGTCGGGACAGCCCTCAGGTGCCTCAAATCGCTCTTGTTACCAACCAGCATGATAACAATGTTGGAATCAGCATGGTCCCTCAGCTCCTTCAACCACCTCGTAACGTTCTCGTAAGTCTGGTGCTTGCTGATGTCATAGACCAGCAGCGCGCCAACAGCACCTCTGTAGTATGCCGATGTGATGGCTCTGTATCTCTCCTGTCCCGCAGTATCCCAAATCTGAGCCTTGATTGTCTTCGCATCGACCTGGATGGATCTGGTCGCAAACTCGACACCGATGGTGGACTTGGAATCTAAGTTGAACTCATTGCGAGTGAATCTGCTCAGCAGGTTGGATTTCCCGACACCTGAATCTCCGATCAGGACCACTGTAGAGGGAGGGTTAGCATTGTGCGCGGTGTGTTGTGCTGATCAGGACGGGGCCGGATAAGGCATAAGGGGCAGTCCATACCCTTAAAGAGGAACTATTTGCGGAGAAGAGATTAGCTATCGGAACCGCAGGAGCATAAGAAAAAGATTGAAATAGAGCTATAGCTTACATCGTATTCGTCGTTAGCCATGTTGGCGGTCGTGATGTCGTGGTGATGATGGGGGGGAGGAGGGGTTGTAGAGAGGTTCGTTCGTCACCGCATCACACTATGTATTTCGTCCGGGTGGATGTAGTGGACAAGGCAACACGATTAAATTGGCGAGCCCGCAGTTGCTGCACCACACACGCGCCACACCGCGCCACACCGCGCCACACACACATGGAAGCTTAAGAAGCTCGTCTAGCCCGTTTCAGTGAATTCACAATAAAGAAGCCAACGACGAACAAGCAACAACAAACATTCTTTGTCCAGTATTTAAAGGAAGCAGGGCATTCTTCTTGAACCTACATTACATTAATACAACTCCTAAATACATAAAAGTTCAAGTTAACGTGTCATTCATCCTCTAGAGGCTCGTACACACGTTTCATTACACGCCTGGACCCTGGAACCAAGGAGCATTATATAGTCACGTGTGTGTAAGTATTCTCATTCTTTGATATCGATATCGTTCAAACAGCCTAACAGGATATAGAAATACTCTAGACGCGGCCATCCTAGGAGCTAGGCTCTGCTCTGAACCTTGCAGCTGCATAAAGTCGAGGTGAAGCTGTACCAAAGCACAACGTCGCTCTTACTTAACTTGGCGATGAATCTCGAGTGCGGTGTGCCGATTGCCGCCTAAACAGACAATGGCATCCAGTTCCCCGCCACCAGGTTCAGGTTCAGGTTCAAGTTCAGACAGTGAAAGTGATGAGGATGTATATGTCGTCAAGCGGATCCTGTCCGAAGGAGGTAGGGACGAAGAACGGGTATTCCTTATCGAGTGGGAGGGGTATCCCCTTTTAGAATCTACCTGGGAACCCGAGGAAAATGTCCTAAGTAAGGACACATTAAAGGCATGGCAAGAAGAAAAGCTCCGTCAACGAGAAGGTCTTTCCGAGCCATTTGACACCGATGAGTTCGACAAGCTTAAAGAGGAGTATGACAAGCGCAAACTGAGGCGAGAAAAACTTGGGCTTCCACCACAATCAAAGACCTCGAAATCCGAAAGCAAGGGAGATTCCTCCAGCGATGAAGCCGAGGAGGCCTATGTTGAAGTTCCAGACGCTGAAGGAATACCACTGTCAAAGAAATCACAGCAAGCTCGGGTAAAACGCCGCGATACTACTCTCAGTGACGATGATACTGTTATGAATGATGCTCCTACAAGTGAAGATCGATCTAGAAAAGAGGCCAGACCCACCAAGAACGGGACCGAGACAAAGGCCAAAGTTCACAAAGCTCCAATAATAGAAGCACCTAGCGCAACAGGTTATCAAGGAACGGCTCATAGAGGCCCGGTCTCCCACTCTGCCGATGCCCCAAGAGAGCGATCAGGAAAAGGAAGGCCGCGTACGACCGGACGGGGTAGCCACATGGCAATGTCAAAACCCAAGGCCCGAAGAACCATCGAGAACAGGATCTTAACTGAAACCCGTTCAAAGGAGGCAAAGGCACCGCAACTCTTTACAAACAAGAGCCAGGAACGCAGATTCGAATTGGGTGCTAGGGGGTTGGCAGATCGTGCTCCTGCGCAACTGCCCCGCCTGATGAATCCAGCCGAGTACCGTATTCGGAAGAAGACCTCAGTGCCAGTTCCCGGGGGAGCTCAAAGCACACAGACGCCAGTCTCTACACCAGGTGACCAACAACCGGTTCCCAGTTCAACGGCGGCAACGGCACCTATGGTATCTAGTCCCGAAGAGTTCATTCCTCAACAGGAGGCTACTGCCGTCGGATTTGGGGAAGAGCAGCCAAACCACTCTCCTATTGCCACATTTCATCCACCTACTGCACCAATGGGCTCAACTTCTTCAATTCCAATTCACGGCCACCCAGCCAGTTCCGGAGCGCAAGATGTGGCAAATGTCCTTCCATCAGCACCAGTACGAAAAGTATCACTGGCTAATTACTCTGCGAAACAAAACGGTGTCGCGCCGAAACCAGTCTCTATGTTTAATCAGGCGCAGGGTGGTTTGAGTGAGACTACTCTGAAATCATTCTTCGGGGATCGTCAGGCTCAAGATGACCCTCTTGTCCTAACATTTATTGACGTTAGCGTTCACAACATGGCCTGGGGGGCTGCGGCCCAACAACTCCGAAGCAAAGATCTCACCTTCAACTACATCTGTCGATCTACAGATGTCGACAACTTCAAGTCGGAGTTTAATCCCACTTTATTGGCAAGAGGGAAGGTTACCGCAGGCACTGGAGATGACCAGAAAGTCCAAGACAGTATCTCCGCCCTGGGTGATTATTTAAGAGTTAACATTTCCGGTTTGCTTTATAACTTGGAGTCTCTCAATGTTGTCATATACCCGACACGATGTGAAGAATGGAAATTTATCGAGTCCGGTGCTCAGCTTCAGCACAGCGGTCAACTATCGTTTTTTTCGTTCACCACGCCATCAAAACTCGTGTGCCCGTCTTATAACAGAGAGGCAGAAAGTAGGATGTCCAAAATGAAAGTTAATGGATGTGAGGACTATCAACTTCTAAGCAGGGCAATATTTGGATTCAGCTACCAAAGTCTCCACCAAGTCGACAAGAAAAGCCCTCGGGACTCGTTTTTTCTCCTGTTCCCTAACATGACAGCCCCACTTGCAGACCATACGGCTGCCTGGTTACGGTCCTCAAACAAGGAGTGCAGGATATATACTTGCCAGCAAGCTGGGTCTTGGCGCCAATTTGTGAAATACACTGGTAATCCAGAGGGAGGGAGCCTGATTATCCACCACAAGATGATCTCCTTGATTCCGAGATACCCAGAGCTTCAAAAGTTCTTGCTCAACGGATTAAACAACGTGTGGTGTATAGATGAAGATTTTCCAAAGGGCAAATACTTAATAAGGCTCTTTCCCCATGGAGGAGCGGTATGCCTAACCTCGGGATTCCTATCCGGAGAACCAGAAATGGCTCTATTCTTCTTGAACTGGTTCTTGTCGAAAAGGGGGGGGTCTCGAGCTTCATCTGGAACTTGGAAGCTACTCGTATGCCGTGATATATATAAATTTGTATCTGACCAGGCAATCGGCGCTGCCAAACGAAGAGCGAAACTTCTTGAGACCCTTCCAGCCGGCCTTACTGATTCTCAAATACAATCTATTGCTACCGGCATCGGACTATCAATGAAGAATTGCAAAGATCGTTTCGATCTTATGGATGTGGTAGGCAGACTTGTTCACCCGAAGAACGAGAAGGAAAGAGATCTCGACGCCGTGTTGCAAGCGGATGATACTCGTACCCTAATAGTATTTGCGGATGAAGAGATTAAGCCGTCCGATGACCGTGGGCTCATCCGCTACTTCGCATATTGGTCGGTTCTTCATTTGAAAAAATTCCGCAAATTCGTTGCCATCGGCTCGAAAACAAGCCCTGAAGAGCATGAGGAGGCGGCTGCACAGCCGCCAAAGATATCAAATTCCTCCGGCACAAAGCCTCCATCAGAAAACACACCACAGGATCGGCCTCCGTCTAAGAGCCCTGGGACATCGAAGTGGAAGCGCAGCTGCTTTGCTTCTGTAGATGGAGCAGATGACGATGACGATTATGAGCCGACCATCGAGCCTCAGCCAGATACGACTCAAATATCAGAGACAGATGACTTGAACGCCGGCGTCGCTCCAGAAGACTTAAACCTAGGGGTTCTTAAATTTATCGTCGAAACGGGTGTAACCTACATTGTGGCGACGGATTTCATGAACCGGGCTAAGGGCAACCACGAACGGGCAATGATGCTCTACGAGTTTTCAAAAAAGGCCAAAAAGCAGGCTGAAGAAGCCGCTGGTGCGCCGGTGGCAGCTGAGACGCCGCCGGTTCCTCCTACACCTGTCACCGATGCAAATGTAGCGATCCCATCCACCGAGGCCGTCACCACCGAAGACGTCGTCATGGAAGACGCACCACCTGTCGCACCGGACGCTGCACCGTCTACCCCCCAACCCACGGATACCAATTCCCCGGCCCAAAACAACGTCCCGGATGCCCAACCTTCCTCTCAGACCTCAAACTCAGGCATCATAACTTCCGAAGCCGGCCTCCGCTTTGTCCCACGCTCCGTGCGCTCATCTGGCACAGTGCGAAACGAGCTGAATATCCGACCTGGCTATGTTCCGCCGGAGGATAAAGAGGTGTACAAAGTGAGCCGCGGACGCTCAGGGAGTGTTGAGAGAGCGTCGAAGTCGAGGTCGCGGAGTGGTTCTAGTGGTGTAGAAGAAGGGGGGATAGGTAGTGGGGCGGCATCAGCATCGGTGTCGCCGGGTGGTGTTTTGACGCCTGTTACGCCTGCTACGCCTAGTGAGTGGCGGAAGGATCAGATCGATCGGATGGAGGGGGTTAAGGGGGCGGAGGAGGGGAAGGGGGAAGGGAAGCTTAGTACGTTGGAGTGGTATGCGGAGATGAAGTTGAAGGGGGTGGAATGGAATCACATCGCTGTTGTGGGGTGGGAAGACGCGTTTAAGTTGCTGAGGGTTGAGTATAAGAAGAAGTGATACCCTCGGTTCTTTGCATTGCTGGTTAATGTTGCTTCACTGGCGTCGGCTATTTTTTGCGAGTAGGCTATCTTGCATCATTCATGGAGCTTAGGGCTGGCGTATATTTCAGAATTCAGGGAGCTTAGGACTGGCGCTTAGTTTAGAAGATATTGCTATCTTATAGCACTAATCGAATAGGCTCAGGAGTCAATAACGTCTAACAATTAAAGATTCTTTATTTTGCTACGCTTGAACACGCCTAATCTAACAAACATCGGCCACCCCGTTGTCGTGCTGCTCAGCTTTTTGCATTCCGTGACGCCCAGTGCTAGTATACAAACACATCCATTCGCCTCTCCGAACTCCGGCCTTGCCCCTACCCACCCCATTCCCAATCTCCATCTAAGACAGCTCCATAGCCTCGCCGTGGCCATTAGTGATGTTCATCTCGACAGCGCCCTGCTCGCCAATGAGCCTCTTCTCGTAGTCCTGCACGAACTTGACGCTGCGGGTCTGGTCGTAGAAGAGCTGGAAGCTGCGCTGCACGTCCTCGATACCGACCTGTTTCGCGCGGCGCTTGGCCATAATCAGCTGGCTGGTGGTAATCAGGTTGCTCGCGTATCTCAGGCCGGCCTCCTGTCCAATCTTGGTTAGGAGAGCCAGGGCGTCGGGGGAGACGTCGACTTCCTCCTCCTGGGCACGGATGGAGAGGATCTGCTGGATCTCCTCCTTGTTGTAGGAGTGCGTGGAGACGATGACGACGCGGTCGAGGAAGTCGAGGGGGAGGCCGTGGGGGGACTTGTAGGTGGTTCCACGGATGCGGGAGTTACCCCTGTTGCTGGCCATTATGACGATGGGGGCGAGCTTGTCCTCGAGCGCGCGGTTGATGAAGGAGAAGCACTCGATGTCGAGCATGTGCACTTCGTCGATGAAGAGGACGCCGGGCACGATCTCGGCCTTGCCTTCTTCCTTCCACTCGGCCACCTTCTGGTCGATCTGCTCGCGGACTTCGCTGCGGATCTCACCGGTGTCGCCGGAGAAGAGGGCGAGGAAGCCTTGTGTGCGCGAGTTGATGACGTCGATTTCGTGGAGGGAGACGGTGTGCACGACTTCCTTGCGTTTCTGCAGCTCGCCCTCGGGGCACTGGATGAACTTGGTATCGGCGCCCATGGCGTCGTATTCTCTCGACCTGCCCCAGCTCCTTCCGAGCTTGCTGATCTTGCCGGATGACTTGTCAATGGAGATGACATCGCCAGCCTGGACTCTCTCCTTGGTCATGGCGTCGATCATCTTCGTGCCCATGTCGTAGATGGTTTCCATGTCGGTTGTCTTGATAGTGAGCTTGCCCTGCTTGTTGGCCCCGGTCACCGAGCGGTCGATTTGGATCTCGACGACCTCACCCTCGATCATCTCGGACTCCTCCTTGATGCGCACGCCGATTGATTTGCGGAAAGATTGTGTGAGGGCTTCGGTTTTCGACATTTCGAGGGAGAAGATTTCGGAGGAGGCGAGCATCGTGAAAGGGACGTCTGGGCCGAGAGATTGAGCCATGCCCATAGCTATAGCGGTCTTTCCTGTGCTGTGAGTCTGTTAGTTCGGCGCCTAGGGACAATTTTCGGCGTAATTGGTTGGGAGAAACGCGCCTTGGTGGTCCTGCGATCAACAGGGCTCTGCCAGCAATCTTTCCCTGCTTGACCATCTCCAGAACAATGGCAGCGGCCTTCCGCGCCTTTTCTTGTCCCACAAGGCCTTGCGACGCTGCTCGGGGCTCCAGCGTATCAGTGTCGACACCCAATCCGCGAATATGCGAATGCGCCGCAATCAGGTTCATCCCCCGGAGCTCTTTGCTCTGAGGCACGGTCTGGATTGTCTGTGTACAGTCAGTATTCAAGCAGGTCATTGAAAATGAATTCGAGGTGTATGCAGAACTTACTGTAGCCATGTCGTGGAGTTATTCGGGGTATACAGGAGGGTAGGATGTGGAATGGTAGAGCGGGCGTAGGAGTGATGGTGGTATAAAGATCAATTAAAGATTATTAGCAGTAGCCCGTAGTAGGTAGTAGTACGGTTATCGCGAAGCCCACCTGTACCGTACCGCCTTACGCCCTGTCATACAACAAACGCAACGCCGCTCTAGCACTACAGTACGTACTACCTACACTTCCGCTGTACGCGACCTGACCGACGCGTCTATAATCTGCAGTGGTATAAATTCTTAATATATTGAAACAACTCAACAGCCAACGGCTTAACTTCGCGGCAAGTTGCATGTGGCCACACAAAGCCATACAGATTAAATTCAGAATCCGTAATTCAGATTTGGGGTTCTCTTTTCATGCGCAGCAGTCTACTCTTTAGGATCTCTTGACTACTACAGTTTCTGTCTACTTAATCATTGATTTTTAGCCACTTGTGCCTGCCGCCAGACCCTGCCGCCACCGACCGCCAAAGCCAGCCAAGCCAATTTAGTTATTGCTTCTCAAACAGTAATAACTGCACCTGAACTACACCTCATTTTTTTTTGCTTCTGAATCCACCTCAACTCCTCACGACTATATAACGCCCCCTCTTCTACTCGAAGCTCCTCCTCCTCCTGCTCTTTTTTCTATACATTTTAAAGAGAGCCTGTACAGCAGCTGCGATACCCCTCCTCGTCAACACCGCTTTTTGTCTCATCCAAGACCAGCCAGTCACCAAGGGGTCCACTACCCACTGTACTACACTGTACTGTAAGTTATTTGCAATCGCATTCGAAGTGAATCTATTTAGATCCTATATTCCTTCATTTGGCACTTGAATAGCACACCTGCTAACGTTCATCGCCTCAGACGCGCACTCCATACAAACCAGCATTGGCTTCCCTGGCCCTGCGAAATATCGGATGTTGCCCGAACGCGCATCCTACGGTCATTCATGATCAGGCGCATGATTGCCGAGTCATCATACCTGTAGCTGGAACGCTACGCGCAATCGCGCAATATGTCAGGAGACCGTTCTCACTGGGATTCACGGCAAAATTCGCCCCGGAGTCCACACCGAGGCGGCCGCGGTGGTGGCCGAGGTCAATATCGAGGACGCGGGCGAGGATCGTATCATGAAGACCGAAGTCGGGAGGACCAGGACGAACGAGAGCGAGAACGGCGCGCTGCTGCTGCGGAAAACTACCGGAATAATCGAGGGCAATATTCGCCTGCGGAATATCGTGACCGTAACAGAGGTATGTACAATTTGCCTTGGAAGGTCATTCTTCTGATTTGATTGATCTAAAACTCTGGCTAACTAACTGCACAGACAATGGCACGTCTCGGGACTCGAGCGAGCACGGATATCGTCGAACGTTACCAAAACCACAAGAGTCGACTCCTTCAACCCCTACTAGGTGCGGACTAGGCACTGAGTTCGCGTCAGCAATACAGTCGTTGGCTGAGTGGACCACAGAGGAGAAAAATTTACGTCTCAGGTGCGAACGGGCGAGGCAAGACTGCGATGAGGCAAGGTATATTTTCGATTCAGGGAAGCCTACACATTCCCAATTTCCTATTGAGGCGGAAAGAGCAAAAGAAAGATATGCTAAGGAAAAGTCGGCGCTTGAAGCTTTGGAGGCAAAGTTGAAAGAGGCAAATTCCAAGATATCCAGCACCACCACGGTCGTGGCGCAACACTATGATTCCCTTATTTCTTCCAAAGGTGGAGCGAGATCGTTTCAGCTTGGCACTGGGATCGAGAATGGGTTATCAGAAGCTGACGATAAGTTTTTGAAGCTCGAAAGGGATATGAAAGCCGAGAACCGGAAGCTTCAGGAGGAATTTGATTTGCGTCTTAAAGGTGCCGAAGATAGGATAAGGAGCGACTCTCGTGACCAGGTGGTCGCCATGAATTCATCTATATTAAGCAAAACCGATAATCTCCTTACGCTTAGCAGAGACGTCCTTGAGCTTAAGAAGCACTCAGACTATCACAAAAATCAGCTCAGTCAACAGCAGGATCAGCTGAGAGAATACAAAACTGCCATCAAGAAGCTTGGTGGAGCACCAGTTAATGGGTATTCAAGCGACGCTCCTTCTCCAGGCGATGAGAAGACTCTCATGCGCATCCAGTCAGTGGAGACTCAATTGGCTGCCGAACATTCGTCAAATCTAAAGCTAGCATCTCGAATCGAAACTGTCGAACAGGTACAAACCACTAATACGTTGGCAATGCAACAAGAGATCCAACTTGCCGTTGCTAATACGTCAAGCTTGGAGCTCGTACCAAGAATCGATGCTATCGAAAGGAGCCAAGCCGCTATGTTGCAAATACAAGATAATTTTGAACAGCTGCAACACAACGTCGGTGGCTTTGATGATGATCTAAGCCGCCATGACCAGAGAATCAAAGCCTTGGAGAGTTCTTCAGATAGACCTCAATTGTCGGATACCACTGGTCCCGGAAATGACACTACTCCTGTTGCAAGCCTAGTAACGCAACAGATAAATGCTCTTAAGAATTATATGAGCGAAAGCATTGTGGAGATCAAAGCATCACAGGATGCTTCTGACGGAGCGCATGGGTCACTAATACAAGGGTTACTTGGCAATGTCTCAACAATGGAGGCTAGGGTGGCTGGATTAATGAATGGCGTCGAAGCACTTCATGCTCAACAAAAGGCCACGTTTGACGAGTTAAGGCAGTTGTTGAGAAGGGTTGGGTCCCTGGAGTCTGACTTCGTTCATATGAAACCTGTCAAGGCTGTAGCACCGTTAAACGGATCGGAGAATGCGGCCTCTGCATCTACAACCGGTTTTCTTCAAAATGGCGTTCACGCACCAGGGATTGATTGGGGCCCAGCTCTAAATTCTTTGAGTAGTGAAGTGGCCGATATCAATCGCAGACTGGCCGAAACTAAGCAATTCGAAGCTGGAATCAACATGGGTATACGGAACTTGGACACGCGGATGAATAACATCTTTACCGATCATCTCTCTAAGCAGATCCTTGGGCAGCTCCAAACGGTGTATCCGAATCTCGTCCAGGTTGAAACTCTTGTCCGAGACTTAAACACTCGTATGGGACTCGTCGAAGGCACCTTTCACAATCATACCGAGAGTATTGGCTACATCAGAGATTCTCAGGACGCGGTTCAAGGTAGGCTACGAACCTGGGAGAGTAACTATACCACGGCGATTGCAAATTTATCGACGGCGGTAGACTCTGTTAGAGACTCCGTTCATATCCTACAATCCCCGGGTGTTGGCTTTAGGACGCCTGGTGGGAGCAACGAACAGGACGCGATTCAGGGTAGGCAACAAGCCGGGGATAATAACTATACCACGACGATTGCAAATTTATCGGCGGCGGTAGACTCTATTAAAGGATCCGTTTCTATCCTACAGTCCCAGGCTGATGGCTCTAAAGCTTATTTAAAGGAAGAAATGACGGTGCGGATGGACTCGCTATTCAAAGACCTTAAGGAACATATTGAGGCAGTATCCAAACGTTTGCAGAGGCAGATTGAGGATATTGAGCACCTAATCGAGTTCGATGAGGATGGAAAAGTGCAGTCAGTGAAAGAAGCGATCCACGTTCTCACGGAGAACTATGGGAAGATGATGGGAGAGTTCGACGCGCTTGATTACCAAGTGCAAAAGCTTAAGGCGGAATCTGCCTCGAGCCGTGAAGGCAGTGCCGTCAATCAGCCGCAGGTTGGCAAGGTACAAGAAACCGTGCCATCTGCCTCTGGCCCTAGGGCTGTTTCGACAGCACTCCCTTCCCCTGCGTCGTTAATATCTAGGCAGTCTGGAAACAAGCGCAGTGCTCCGTCTTCGCCTTCGGCTAGGTCACAAGTGTCTGGTCAGAAGCAAACAAGCAAGAGGAGACGAGAGGCCCAAGGGCCATTTGTGTTCTCGGATGGGGACCAGGAGTAGGGTGTTAGCTAGGGAAGCTAAGAAATGGCGTTTCAGGAGGTCGAGATTCAAGAAGAGCGCTTCTTACATTTACTTTTTTAGCGAGACGTTCATGGCTACTGTCCGACACAAAAGTTCATTTGGGCTTATTGCTTGCTGTCAACAATGCAGTACCAATTTTGCTTTAAATGCACGAAAGCGAAATATACGACCATACGATTTTAAAGGCTGCAGTGGCTCTAGCTGCTAAGTCGGTCACGACAGAACATCAATCACCTATAATGCAGCAAGTTGCCTTACTACATTTTTAATCATCTGGCTTCTATTAGAGCGAAGGAATAGGTGGTTGCAGCTTAGAGAGGGGAGTTGGCGTTTTCAGAGATACCAACCTATTACTATTGTTACATAGGCACAATAATACAAGACAACGATGCAACAAGAACAAAGACAACATCTAAAGCTAAGGGAACATATAATAAATGGACAACATTATGATTCCTTATTGTAATCTAGTAGCAGTTATGCTCCTTTAACTACTATTTCATCTCCCCCTTTATACACTTCTTTATCTACAACTATATAATTCTGTAACTATACTACCTCGTAGCTTATTCCCATTATGGGCTTACTTCCTCCTGTGGTATAATGCGGTCCCTATCACTGCCAAACGTCCCCTCGCCCTCTGGTATTATAGGCTCCTCCTGCGTCTCCCACGGCTTCTTTCGCCTCGAAGCGGCCGGCTGGGTCGCCTTGTCGGCGAGCACGGTAGGTGGGATGTCCATGATGCCAGGTATCGGAGCACCACTATTGATGAGGGCGACAATATCCGCGAAAGAGGTTGGGAAAGAGGGATTGGGGTCGGCGTTGGCGGTGCCGCTGGCTGGTGGATGCGGGGTCGACTCCCCAGCAGCGTCGCTCGGCTTTGGCGCCGGGAACTCTTCAGGGGATTGCGAGGCAAGATGCGCCTTGTACGCGTCGAAGTCGATTGTCTGGTTTGTTTTGCGCGCGTAGTAGAATGTTCGGGCGCGGATGGTGAGGTCTCTCAACTGGGAGGGGCTTGGGTTTGGGCCGAGGATGGCGGCGAGGCCAGCCTTGCGAACGTCAATGTCTTAGATGGAATTGGATTGAGTGGCGTAAATAGCGTAAGACATACCTGGAATTCACCATCTTTCTCCCAGTTGTAGGAATCCAGCTCTTGAAAGAGCTTTTCGTTGTTTGACGGCTCTGTCGACATTTCTTTCGACATTCCGGCCACAAACTTGGGAGTTGTTTGGTCTTCCATGTGAGTTTGTCGCTCGGCCGGTCATTAAGCGCAGGGCTGATGGACAAGGCTGACAGTTGTGCATGGATTAGTTAAACGAGGTTTAGCTCAGCCTTTTCGGCTTTTTCGCGTTTTTATTGGGTGGCTGGGGGTTGTCTGGCAACTGGCGTTTACGTTTACCATCCCCTTGGTCTTGGCACCGCGGAATCCACCACCGCGCACAAACTTCACCACCCAAGCCCGCCAGAGACGAGAGAGATCCACTGTGACAACCTCCTCCCTCTTCCTTCAACACCACTCAACGTTCGATCTTCACCAGTCTTCAATCTATACGTTTTCGGACCCGGCGCGATCATACTACTTTCTTCTTTTCTCGCTCTGATTTGATTTCAGATCGCTTGATATAGTACTGCCCCGTTTCTTTTTGCGCTGAGGAGCGGCGCGACCTAGTTCGACATGTCCGAGTTCATCGGGTGAGTTCCAGCCTCCGCGTCACAGCCTGGCCAACAAATCATACCGGGAATCCTTTAGCTAATCGATGCTCGCAGATCACGCATATCCCTTGTTTCGAGGAGTGATATTCGGTACGAATAGGGTCCAATTGCACGTCCCCAAAGGACCCAACTGACCGCCGCGGCTGCAGCTATGTAGGCACTTTGCATGAGATCAATTCCGAGACATCGACCGTTGCACTCGAGAACGTTACATCTTTTGGTACTGAGGGTCGGAAGGGAAACCCAGACGAAGAGATTGCGGCGAGCGACAGCATCTACGAATACATTGTCTTCCGTGGCAGTGATGTCAAAGACTTGCGGATCGAGGAAGCTCCAGCTGCGAAGGAGAACAAGCCACCACAGGTGCCAAATGACCCTGCCATCCTAGGTGTACGTCTATCACTCCCTTCAGAACCTCTACAGACTGCCCCCGAGTCAAAGCACATCCTGAGATGACGAAAAATTCCGGATGTAAACCATTACTTTCTCCGAGAGCGCAAACCCCATGTGGAGATTTCCGTTGCCTTCCTTCTGATCTATCCCAACATTATTCACTCATTTTATCAAATGTGGTGTTTCAAAGCTAACATAAATGCTTAGTCGGGATCTCGTCCTGTCCAGCAACAGCAGCAAGCGCCACAACAGCCGCCAGCACCTCCAGGGCAAGGTGGACGACAGTTCCAACAGCAGCCAGGGCCGCCACAGAACCAAGGCCAGCAGAACCCAGCCGGTCCTGCGTCCCAACAACAACAACAACAGTACCCTCCTCAGTTCTACCCTCCCCCAGGCCCAGGACAATGGGGCCGTGGCGGTCCACTTCCACCTGGAGCTGGATATCCTGGCATGCCTTATCCTCCACCTCCACCAGGGTGGTATCCTCCCCCAGGACAAGGATTCCCCCAGCCAGGCCCGTTCCCGTACGGCCCATATGGTCCATTTCCCCCAGGACCTCCAGGAGGACCCCCAGGACCACCTGGCCCACCAAACCAGCAATTCCCGCAGCAGAAACCTGCGCCAATCGGTCCAGGTGGAAGGCAACAGACAACACCCGGTCCCACGGATAAGTCTGTTGAGCCAAAGAGCCTAGGCGGCCAGGCCCCAGCTGCTCCAGGGCCCCATGCGAAGGGGCCAAAGCAACAACAGGCACCTGTCGAGTTGAAGGGGTCGCCTGTCCAAGCCCCAGCTCCTAAGGAGGCTCCAGCTGCCACAACTGGCCCTGCTGCTCCCGCTGCTACCAAGACCGCTCCAACTGGACCTAAGGGCGGCAGGATCCCACCTGCGGTCCCACTTGCAAGCCCAAGTGCTGCTAAAGCCCATGCTGCGACCACTAGCAAAGCCCCCGCCCCAGCAGTCAATGTTCTCGCTCGCTCTGCTGTCGAAGATGCTACTCAAGCTGCCACCGCAGCGGTCGCCGCGGCCATGGCCAAGCTTCCCCCTGTCGAGGGTCAGCACCAGAACGGTAATGCCATTGACAACCTGACCAGAAAGGTCAACGAAATGAGAACAAACGACACGATCCGTGCTCCCCGTCAACCAGGCGTCGGCGGGTTTGGTGGACGCGGTGGTGCGTCGCGAGGCCGTGGAGGACCTCGCCAGGAGGCCCGCAAGGTTGAGGTCCCCAAGGACGATTTTGACTTCGAATCATCCAACGCCAAGTTCAACAAGCAAGATCTGGTCAAGGAAGCGATTGCTGGCACTTCGCCTGCCGAAAGCCCAATTGAGGAGGCAGCACCAGAGACGGCGGCAACAGGGTCCTACAACAAGTCGTCTTCCTTCTTTGACGACCTGTCCAGCGAAAGCAAGGACCGCGCAGAGGGCGACTCCACTGGCAGGCGCCCAGGTGGCCGCGAATGGCGCGGTGAGGAGCAGAAGAAGAACTTCGAGACCTTCGGACAGGGCAGCGTCGATAATGGGTACCGAGGTGGTTTCCGCGGCCGAGGACGCGGACGCGGCGGCATGAGAGGTCGCGGACACTTTGGCGGAAACGGACAGCCCGGCGCACGCGGCGGGCGCGGTGCGCATCGCGGAGGAGCCCAGGAGGGCGGCCTATAACTCGCGACATAGGAGTTTTCAACGTTTTCTACCGATGTCGACGGAATGACGGACGGTGTATCAACAGACTCTTTACGGCGGACAAAAATCTGAAATATCTGGAAAAAGACAGCGCGTTTTTCTTCACATGTCTCGTTCTTTATGCTTTTGCTTGCCGCGCTTTTACTCGCTCGGCATTGGCTCGCTGTGTCTACCGTGGGGATTTTTCAAAGGAGTCTTGTGGGATACCAAGATTACGATTGTAGTGTGGATTTATCTACACATTTTTTTTTCTTTCATATTGTTGTACTACAAGCATTACGACTCGCATGATACGGTTCATGATGGAATCTGGGTGGCCTGGCGGCAGGTCATGGCCAAGGATCGGATCGAGGATGGATATGGCCAGTAGATGGATCTCTGTTACGGGGCCTTCGTTATGACGGCTGGTTTGCATAAAAATGGAGGTGAAAGGGGGGTTTGGTTTGATAGAGACTTGCAGCTAGATACTGCAGAGCATAGTCGAATAATAAATGCGTCAAACCAACAATATTTGTCTGCAATGTACAGTGATTCTGGTGTATTTTTTGTCGATATATGCGCGTCATATTCTCAGCTACTGTGCTCAAGCCATGTGCCGAGAATATATTTGAACTCCGACTTCTCAGCTTTCTCCTTTTAGAACAGCACGTTTATGTTAGTGTATTACGAACTATACTAATGTTTTATATTTCCTTTCTCCTTTACTTGCGGTCCTCTATGCTTTCATCCTTTATACACGTGTTCTGGAAGGGACAGCTCAGCTTCGAGGAACAACATTCCTCCGACTCCGCCACAGGGTTCCGCAAGCATCGAGAGCTGCCCCGTGTCCAATTCAGGACGCGATATACCAACTGCCTCTCAACTGCCGCACGCTGCTTTTCAACACGATCCCCAGCGCACTCGATGACCTGCCGTTGAAACCGCGCAACTTGATAATTGCTTGGAGGAAGACACATACCCCTTCGTGACGGGCATCTGCGCCATCAAACCGCCAATATGAATTTGTTCCGTCTCCTGGGTACGCATCTTTTAATTGGGGAAGGCTTCATGGGATGAAGGGCTAATTGTTGCGTAGCTGATTTCAGCCATTTGTTGTCCATTTTGATCCTGCTGGATAAGATGATCAGGACAAACGTGAGGCGCCCTCCTTCCAATGCGTCACGCCTACTCTGGAGCTATACTGACATCCCTCCCAGAGCTGTTCCGGAATCTCGTTCAAGTCGCAAGCATTATACCTCATTGTCTACGTGACGCGCTACCTTGGTATGCCACTCTTCGCCTCCTATCCAGGCGCTCCAACTAACAGCCCGCCCCGCAGATATCTTCACAACCTTCACGGACAGCTACTACAACAGCATCTTCAAGATCCTCTTCATCTCCTCCTCGGGCTACACGCTCTACCTGATGATGACGACCTACAAGCCCACGCAATCCGCTCCCCTCGACACCTTCCGCGTGCAATACCTCCTCCTAGGCGCCTTCGTCCTCGGCGCCCTCTTCCCGCCGGAATACAGCGTGCGCGAAGTCCTCTGGAGCTTCAGCATCTGGCTTGAGAGCGTGGCTATCCTGCCGCAGCTGTTCATGCTGCAGCGCACGGGCGAAGCGGACACGATCACCGTGCACTACATTTTTGCACTGGGTATCTACCGCGCGCTATACATCCCCAACTGGATCTGGAGGTACTGGTCGACTGGGCATCTGGATAAGATCTCGGTGCTGGCGGGGCTTGTGCAGACTGTGCTGTACAGTGATTTCTTCTGGATCTACTATACCAAGGTCATGAAGGGGAAGAAGTTCGCATTGCCGGTATAAGGGTGGCGTTGGACTGGATGGATGGGGGGGCAGATGAGGTTGTGGAGACTGAGCGTGGATTTGGGGCCGGAATGGCGTGGACTGTGTATTGAGGTGTATCAGATGATGATGTGGATTGAAAAACGGGCCCTTTTTGCCGTGTACGACTTAGCATTGGACTGGCGTTGGAATGGCACACTGGTTATTATAGACGCAGCGATTGCCGGGTGGTTCTACTGTGTTTGTTGAATATATATTGCAGCAAATCACCTATTACAGATCCTCTTCTCCGTGCTCTTGTCCGTGAACTCTCACTCCATGACACTACTAAATGGACTCACGCAGATAAGTGTAATGTACATGTATATTATCTAGACTATAAAAAACTCGTAAATCTCATAAGGACAACGCTCAATATGCCATCCCATAACCCCTCGTCCATCAAGAACCAAGCTCATATGGACTATGCGACATTCTATACGCCGACAACTCAACAGGGGTATACCGCCTCGGAGGAGGAGGCGGCATACGGTGATACGGATTCGCATACACCTCGTACTTAGCATACGGGTCGAACTTGTCGGTGCTTCCCATACTAGCATCTCTACTGATAGAGGTCTGCATGTCGGGGAAGTGGAAGGGCCCGGAGATGGCGGGCTTGCCGATAGACGGCGAGGGCTGCTTAGGCTCCCGGTCACGCTGGCGCTTCCGTAGGAACATGACACCGAGGATGACGAAGCAGATTAGGGCGGCGCCGCCAACTGCGCCTCCCACTATGGCGCCGACGTTGTTAGGGGCGGATGGAGGCGTGGCCGCAGTATCAGATGATGATGAAGAGGGCGATTCGTCTGACACCAGCTTTGTTGGGGCAGATATCCCTGCGCCGGTCGGCGGAGGCGAAGTGATATGGTCTGAAGACGATGAGGAAGCCGAGTCCGAAGAGTCCGAAGAAGACGTTGAGGTCGTACTCGAAGATGAGGGTGGAGGTGTGGTGGAGGTCGTTGGGGGGATGGTAGTGGATTTCTCAGCGGGAGTGGGAGTCTTCGTTGGTGTTGGCGTTGTTGTAAACGATGTAGGCGACGCCAGCAAGTGGTCTGTTTTAGGTGTATTTGCGCAGGCAATATACGCATACGTCTGATCCGGACCCGCGGTCAGGAGCGCAGTCGAGCAAAAGTCGTTACCGGCATCCGTGCTAATATCGAGTCAGGCAACTTTCTTGTAGACCAAACGGAGCATCCACACATACCAGTGAAAAGTCGTGACAGTGGAATCGCCGGAGATGCCACATCCAGTAGAGCAGGCATGGTTATCAACACATGCACCCGCAAGACCACAGTCACTTGCTGCTATGACTGTGGTGGGACAGAATCCCCATAGTTGCTTCTGTATGTCGACACGGCAGTCGAAGCCAGCGTCGGCAGTACGAGGATGGTCTGCCCTTCCCTCGCCGAATCCGCATGTCGATGCGCGAACTTGCTCCTGCCGCTTCTTAAAAAGCCCTAGGATGGGTGCAAGTAATCCAACAGTTGAGTTAGAGCTCGATGCCTGCATCAGCTTCTGGCCTGGCCGAGCCGTTGTCGATGCTTCGACCAAGTTATGATATTGAAGGGCAAGAAAAACGAGGGAAATAAGCAGGCTCCTCATTATGAATAGGAAAAGATCATCAATGCTTCAATGACGAACAACGAAAGAATAATAATGCGATAGACAGAGAATGAAACTTGACATATGAGTACCAGAGCAAGAAGTGGACGCACCTACTATGTATACTTACTTGCGAGGGGTATCATTTCCCAACCAACATTTTTCTGTAACGCTCTGCTTCATAGCTCCTGTTGGATGTTGTTATTTTGAGAGTCGTGGTGGATCGAGTACCAGTAGTCACTTTTAGAGTCTCCATACTACGACCAGGTAAACCAGTAACGAGGTCATCCCTGTGGTCGCTCTATGTTACAAAATGAAGCCATGGGCGGCTCGCGTCAACTGAGAGCGTTTATACCTGGACGGTGATTAGTCCACACGATTCCTTGGCAAGACTTAACCCTTTAGCCCACAAGCCAGCCGCCACTAACCACCACGGGAGGAGCCTCGCCCTGACAGACCGACAGGCCATATTTGGCAGGGAGCCACCGAAGGCAACCACGCCATTTATCCACCCGCCAGGGCAGCGACGCCAACAGCTGTCAACTGTATCGTTTCAGTATATTGAATAAGCGCGCAATAGCTGCCATGAACACCATATCGATATGAATCCTCAGTTACTACAACTAACAAATCTCAACGGACCATGTCCCGGAAACTCAGGGTCCTGGTTTCAACCATCTGCCTGTCCTTCGCTGTTGTGTCAATTCTAATCAGCGCCACTTATCTTTCTGGCTCGTCGTCTTCGCGAGAGTTTGTTAAGTCATGGGCGGGAAAACTGTCGCCATCGTTGAACAGCCCATCCTCAAATTCCACAGGTGAGCCCGACGATTAGCGGAAGCAACGGGATTGAGTACTGACACCTCCTGAGCAGCTCCCCAAGATGCTAGTGGGAAGCCTGATAATGGCCTGGTCCCGGTCCTGCGAGAAGGCAATGCAACATTACTCGAAATGGCCCCGGCCTATATCAAGTCTATCATGACGCCGGAGGACAATACCATCCCTCGAATGGAATGCCCAGCTACAGAGGGCAAACGATACGACTACCTCAAAGCAAAGTCGGAGAAGCCGTTCTTTCGCGCCGTGCGACCAAAATACTTCTTCGCCATCGACCTACATCAGTGTATCGACCTCCTCCCAAGGCTAATCAGCTCTGCCGTAGAAGCCATGCGCTTCCTCGGTCCCGAGAACTGTGCCTTATCGATAGTAGAGGGCCGCTCTACCGACGGGACCTTTGAAATCTTGAAGCTGCTGCGCGCAGAAATCGAGACTATGGGCGCCTCATATTACTTCAATTCCTCGGATCTGAACCCCACCTCTGGAGCCCGCATTGAAATCCTCGCTCAGCTACGGAACCTCGCCGTGCAGCCTCTGATGGCCCAACCCGAGAAGTACGATGCTTCTACGACAGTCATCTTCCTCAACGATGTCGCGATATGCAAGGAAGATATCCTCGAGCTCATCCACCAGCGCCTGCACCAGTCCGCCGATATGGTGTGTGCCATGGATTGGACCTATGTCGGCGAGCACCCTACTTTCTACGATGTGTGGATCGCGCGCGATATGGCCGGGGACACATTCTTCAGTATCCCACCCGACGGGAACTGGGACTCCGCGTGGAACCTGTTCTGGAACAACACGCTAGCGCGGGAGCGGTTCTTCGAGCACAAACCCTTCCAGGTGTTTGCGTGCTGGAACGGGGCGACGGCGTTCACGGCGAAGCCGCTGCTAGAGCTTGCGATGGGATTCCGTGGCCCGAAGCAGAAGGAGTGTTTCCAAGGGGAACCGGAGATCTTCTGTAAGGAGCTGTGGAAGGCGGGGTATGGAAAGATTGCGGTGGTGCCGAGTGTCAACTTGGAGTACTCGAATGAGCGGGGGAAGGATATCAAGGCGCTAAAGGGGTATGCATCGCAGTGGGTGGCTAAGGATGGGGATGATCCGAAAGATACGGCATCAAAGATCCAGTGGGTAAAGGACCCGCCGAAGCTGGTTAAGTGTATGCCGAATTACCAGGAACAGACATGGGTGCCGTGGGATCAGAGTTTGGCGTAAAAAGAGGTTACATAGCAGGATATGTGTAAGACTATTGGCACGGAACAATATACAATAAAATAATAATCCATCATTGCTATATAAGTCTGTGGGAAGACAGTCCTTGCTCTCCCTTTGGACGTGGTTATTATATGATCATACATATTAAACGCTTTCCGCCAGCACAATGTGCGCAAGGATCTCCGCTGTTCTCGCCACGTCTTCAGCGTGCGCTTAGTCGTAGAACGCTTCATCCAATTCCTTTAACGTCTTCCCGCCAGTCTCTGGAACGAACTACTAAGTCCATGCGAATGAGAGGAGACAGAAGACCGCGAAGAAGGTGTAGAACATAACTTCGGATGCGACATAACTCGGCACTAACTCTCGGTCTCACATGTGCATCTGCGAAAGCGAAATAAAGTCACTGCTACTAAGTCTACTTTAAAGGTAAATGTATTTTTTTCTCACGGATGTGGAAGTGCTATCTGTTTAGATGACTAGAAAGGGTTGCACAATGCTCTTTCACTGGTACAGCAAGCTAATAGAAAACCCGAAATTAATTTCTAAAAAGTTGTCAATGCCAAGGGCTTGTCATTAATATTCCGGCTTCACTTTACATATAGCTCAATGAATACAAAGGGGGGTGGGGGGAAATGGAACGAATGAAAGGAGGAAAGACGCCATGTGTGCATGAGTTGACAAGCTTGAGCATGTACTGCATTCACGGTCCCCTCGAATCTCAGGCAGGACATCCGCTCGCAGGGTAGTTGCAGCTACTCGCTACTCTGCCTCCAGTAATCGCAACATTGTTGAAAATGAAGTTCGAGCACGACCCATTGCCGCAAAGAATGTAGTAGTCCTTCGCTGTATCAGTGGCTGTTCCAGTCACATTCTGGAATAACACATTCTGAATTAGGACTCCTGAAGAAGGGTTTCCTGTCGCACCACCGTTGAGGTAATCTTGCTGGACGTCAATGCCGAAGGTGGAAGTGTCACTGATGGCGATGTTGGAGTACGTGACGTTGGCGATGTAGCCAGTTGTGTTATAGTTGGTTTTGATGCGGCAGCCATTCTGGGAGTCAATGACGGAGGAATTAGTGAACTATAGTATGTGTTAGAGATATCTGTCATGAATATATCACATTCTTATTTTTCTACTTACCAGAATATTCGTCACGTTATTATTGGACTTTCCTCCCACTGAGCCAATGGATAATCCGTGTCCACCATGGCACTCTAGATTCGACACTGTTATGTTATTACCGCTTGTTATAGCCACACAGTCATCCTGGTTGTAAACAACACTTCTTTGGACAACGATATTGCTCGATGAGCTAACGTCAAAGCCGTCCGAGTTGTGTGCCGCTGCCAGCCTGTTGCTGCGACTGTTAGGAGCATCACCCGCCGTGTTATTCAGGACCAAGTCCTGGAAAACGACATCGGAGCTGCCAGAAATGGTAAATAGATGGACGGGCCAGTTCTGGATATGCAGATTTTTAATCACGGACTTTCCGGTCACTTTGTTGACGACGATGAAGTGATCTGGTTTCGGGACTCCTCCGTTTGAACCAAGGCCGTCCCAGTAAGCCTGGCCGTTGCCGTCAATGATTGCGCCAGGGTTGGCGGTGATACTGATGCTCTGGCCGCCAATGGTGATAGGGTTGAAGGTGGAAGAATTGGTGAAGCCAAAGGTGGTTAGTCCATCGAATGTCACTGTTGTTCCTGTTTTGAGCCCAGAGAGGTTGATTGCGGAGCCATTTGGAGCGGCAATATTGGACAAGACAATATTGGTACAAGATGCAACGGCGGCAGAGATCTGAGAGTAGTCCGTACATACGCATGGTGTGCCTGATGAAGCGGATGTAGTGAGGGTGTTAGCTGAGCTAGTAATCAAAGTCTCGCTTGTAGAGGCAGCAGACGCAGAAGACGGAGCAATGAGAGTGGTGGTTGGAATAGACGTATGAGTAGATGTAGTCGAGGCAGTCGTGGTCGCCGTACAGCTCTTAGTGTTCTTAGTGTTTCCGGGAGCCTTGTGATCTTCAGGCGTACATCCTTCATCATGGAGATCACTTGGGTCAAGATAAGTGGTATCAACCCACCACTCGTCCTGGAAGTTCTCACCGAGAATAGACCGAATCGGGATGGATGCATTCAGCTGCTCGCTGAAAGTCGCTCTGGGTCCTTCTTCCCGCACAGATCCAGGACCATAGTTCCCATACTCTCCAAATGTGACATTGCCAATATTGGGCGTACTTGTAGACCATTGTTTCCAACCAGCGGGGTCAATAATGTTTCCCAAGTAACTCCCTTGGAAGACTACTCGGGCGAAGGATCCCCAAGGTCGACCAAGAGAGTTGGTTCCTGCGGGGATGGTGTCGTTAATTCCAGTAATGTTAGAGCGACTGATAATGTACCATGAAGGGTTGGTGGCACTGCTGCGGCCTGAGGCAGTGATGGAACCAGTTGCGATCGTGCGGATGTCAATGTTCTCGAACCATGCAAGTGCAGTTTGTCCGAAAATGAAGTCTACAGCACCGACGATAAGACTTTTGGCATAGAGCTGGGAACCTGTACAGATACTTCGTCAACATACGTTCGAATAATCATTCTCCCGCGACTTACCTGTCTCCGCAAGAAGAGTGTCCTGATATCCAATCAGCTGACAGCCATAGTAGCCCTGGCCTGTGGTCTCTGCAGAGACGGCCAGGTTCTGGCCATTCTTTGGAATATGACCAAAAGTGTTGACAACGTTCAAGTTGTATACTTTGGTGTTTGGATTCCATTGACGAAGAGTCGCCGTAAGGTCATCATTCGTAGTGTTGATCAGCGCAAGATTGTATGTGATAGTAGCAGTGTTATGCTCATACCCCTTAGAGTTGCAGGTATAGCCTTGAACAGTAAGGTTAGACTTGAGACGAGGAATGTAGACTTGTTCCACATATGTCCCAGGGAAGATAAACAGATTTTGCGGTCGAGTAGTAGTGTGATTGAGAGCATTCACGCCCTCCTGAATAGTAGAGAAAGATCCTAGGTGTGGATGAACGCTGTTGTCCACTATAACCGCGCCTGCTTCGGGGGAGACCCTGGCCCATGGGCCAGAGCAGGTGTGCGAGGGTACATGCGAGACGGGGTAACCTGGAAGAGCCTGCGAAATAGCAAAGCAAGTTGTGAGCGCAAGATGGACATAACCAAACATGATGCCTCAATGCCCCTTGAACAGAATTATAGATGGTAGTCGACTGCTCTGATATATGGTTGAAGAGGGGAACCACCGAATTTATATTGTTCGGACGAAAGTGCGCCCATACCATGTAGTTATATTTTTTTCGAAGGGGACTCCACGGAAACTGGGACTCAGTTGTGGTGTTTCCCCAGCTCCAGCTCCAGCTTCATATCCGGGGTACCTACCCCGCCCAGTACTAGGTAGTAGGTTCCATCAGTTACGTGCTACGTACGGACATATTGTCCCTGATCTCGTTTTAGCGTCGACTTCCCAATGGGAGCTTAATTTCTCTGTACCTGTCAATCGAAGTTAGTGCGATTTTGCATAGAATCTGGAGAATCTGGAGAAAGAAAGTTTCCGCCAATTATGAAGCTTGGACCATTTTTATTAGGGAAATAAGCTCTTTCAAGCATTTACTTGTGCAGAATGTAGGGGTGATATACGCACCCCCTGTTGTTATATAACACCGGCCACGCCTAATTAGTAATTTCGCAATATTTAATTAGAGGTTCTGCCGATACCTAGCTTTGCTAACTATTTGTACTGTAAAATAAGTAACTGAACGGCAGACATTTCGTGCGACCAATGTTCAATTCCCACCAATACAATAATAGTGCTCACGTACCGCCGTTGCTCTAGACATTGCAGTACTACTAGGCCACGCGTCCTAGTGAGGACTATTTGCAATTTCCCATCTAGCTTCTGTCTAACCACATGACCTGGCACGGTACAAGTATTTTCTACAGTGCAGTAACTAGGCGGTCTATGCATCCAGCCTAAGAATTGCTTCTAGCCATGGCGGGAATTTTGTGTAGTAGTTGTCAGAAGTTAATGTGTATTACTAGAACGTTGTTATCTGAATACCCACCAAGGTAATTCATGAGTACGGTATGGCGTCGGATCAACCACCACCAAGGGTCTCGTGCTCTAGTTGAAATGCGTTTACCAACCTAAAGGGCAAAACAAGCATTTAACGGGGTATTATCTGCTTCCCCTTATCCTGCTTCTCTCTCTCTTTCTTGGTAAGTGGTTTTGCGGATGGCTCTGGGGCCACGGTTCCGGGTGTTCCTGGAGCTGCAGAACAGCTGCAAGCAACCGTACCATCCGTAAGGCGCCCTGGACGCTTGGCCAGGCGTTTTTCCTCGAAGTTGCGCTCCACATTTGCGGCTTCAAGGAGAGATCTTATCAACTCGTTGGCCATAGTGACAGTGCCCGTTGGAGTCTTGGTGCCTTCCGAAACAGGAGTGGGAAGTCGACCAGCTGCAGATGCAGGATCTGTAAACATTAGCATATTACCCTTCTCAGCTTCGCTCCGTCAGTCTATAGGCGCCATCCCATGGGCTCGCCAGTCCAACAGTCCGCTAACCATGGTTAATTGACCTGGTTTTGCACACATTCGTCTACAAAGGAGGCAGTTCTACGCAAAATTCAAAAAGACGAAGTCTTTGTAACCATGGTTAATTGATTTGGTTTTGTGCAGATTCATCTAGAAGTAGGGCAGTTCTCCACCAAACCAAGAAAATACGAAGTCTCTGTAACCATGCATGAACTTATTTTGCGCAGATTCATGTAGATGGAAGTGGTTTTGCGCAAAATCCAAAAGCATGAACTTTTGAAACCATGGTTTGAAGGATATTTTGCGCAACCCCATTAAGAAATATATGGTTTTGTGCAAAATCAAGAAGAGCTAAAGAACACGAGTTACTCGAAGGAAATATCAACAATACGGGGAAAGGGGAGAGTTGCCAAATATCTAGGGAGACGGTCATTAGGATGGCAAAGGACGAATTCCGGATGTTAGCCAATAAGGAGAATTTCCCCTCGATGCAATCCATTTTGTAACGGCCGAATATTTCAATTATAAATTAAATTCGTTCGTGGCGGAGCGGGGGATACGCCTGCTTATTTCCCGCCGGATGGGACAAGACTTCACAACTATCAAAGTATCGCCACATATATGTAGGAGCTTGCAAGAAGGCCCATTAGCAAGAACTCTGTCAGTAAGAACATCCATTAGCTATAAAGTTCGACGGTGAGATTATCCGACAGTGAGAATGTTCGGCAGTGAGAAGGTCCGTCAGTCGACAGTGAGAAGGAGCAGTGGTGAGAAGGAGCAGTGGTGAGAAGGAGCAGTAGTGAGAA